CTACTCCTACTCCTACTACTGGTATTACTGTGAGTTTTCCGGACCGTTTCCGGACCGCGCAATTTTCTTTTCTTCTCAAATATGAAAACGAATGCGTTCATGGGCGGATCCTTCTACTAGTGTTGCTACTACTCTCAGTATTACCACTAGCGCCGCTACCACTGCAACGCCGCTACCACTACTACACCGAGGAATTTTTGCCTTTGCTTTTCTCCACTTGACAGAAGTTCCACGGAAGGGTCAGAAATAGTCAGAAACCAGTCAGAAACCGGCCAAACGCAACCTCTCTCTCTCTCTCCCTTGCCTATTCCCTCACCCTCCTACCAGAACTCCTACGCCTACTCCTATTCCAATTTCCACTACCACTACTGCTAGTGCTACTGCTACTGCTAGTATACTGTGAGTTTTCCGGACCGTTTCCGGACCGCACAAGCTTATTTTGCTCCCAAATTTGAAATCGAATGCGTTCACGCATGGATCCTTACTCTCATTACTAGATTTGCTACTACCTCCAGCACTACCACCACACCCGCTGCTACTGCACCACCCTGCACCACCACTACCACCACTACCACTAGTACACCTAGGAATTTCTGCTCTTGCTTTTAAATCCAATTGCACTCGTGTGAAGGGTCAGAAACGAGTCAGAAACCAGTCAGAAACCAGTCAGAAACCCGTCAGAAACCGGCCAAACGCAATCTCTCTCTCTCTCTCTCCCTTGCCTATTCCCTCACCCTCCCATCAGAACTCCTACGCCTACTCCTATTGCAATTTCCACTACCACTACTGCTAGTGCTACTGCTACTGCTAGTCCTGCTGGTACTACTGTGAGTTTTCCGGACCGTTTCCGGACCGCGCAAGCTTATTTTGCTTCCAAATTTGAAATCGAATGCGTTCACGCATGGATCCTTACTCCCACTACTAGATTTGCTACTACTCTTAGTACTACCACCACACCCGCTGCTACTGCACCACCACTACCACTAGTACACCTAGGAATTTCTGCTCTTGCTTTTAAATCCAATTGACACGAGTTCCGCTGAAGGGTCAGAAACGAGTCAGAAACCAGTCAGAAACCCGTCAGAAACCGGTCAAACGCAACCATCTGTTTCCCCCTCCCTCCCTCTCTCTCTCTCTTTCTCTCTTTCCCTCCCTCTCCCTTTCTTCCCTTGCCCTGCTACTAGAACTCCTTCTCCTATTCCTACTCCTACTCCTACTCTTACCCCTCCTATTACTACTACTACTACTACTACTACTACTACTACGACTAGTACTACTAGTACTACTAGTACTACTAGTACTACTAGTACTACTAGTACTACTAGTACTACTAGTACTACTGCTGCTGGTACTACTGTGAGTTTTCCGGACCGTTTCCGGACCGCGCGAGCTTATTTTGTTCCCAAATTTGAAATCGAATGCGTTCACGCATGGATCCTCATTATATAATACATAACTTATATTTTATGTATATGATCTGATCAACGAAGAACAAACCCTTCCGCGATTGCTCACTGTGGTACCGCGGTTGCTACGCGATTGGCTGAGCGATTGAGGGCTGTCCGGGAAAAGGTATTTTGGACAACCCCCATATAATTATTTAATATTATATGTATATGCCAACCTGGCATATCCTGGAATTGACAAAGGCATATCCTCATTCGACATGCCTTTCTCATGTATGGCGATGAAATGTTGGGTTTCATGTTTCGACCTTAGCCATAATCCAGCGCTGCTTGGCTTTGAGGTATGTCTTCCAGCGCCCTGCAGTTGACAAAGCCGAGAGACTTGGCTGGCGAGTTCTTGAACTGGGCACCTTCAGGCTTCCATTAGGCTGAATTTAAGTGGCCCATAGACGCGCACATAGAAGGCACAAGAGCAGGACTAGTGTTAAAAAAATGTTCAATCTTTCCCTACATGTGATTTCTAGATTTTCAAGGCTTGTTAGCACGCACATTCAGATTGAGATAAGGGAATGGTTCGGAGACCGAGGGGAAAAACAGAAATAAATCAGACACACCACCATGTGGGAGCTATTATTTGTACATACTTTGTACCCTACGCAACGAGGCTGATTGTCGAAGCATTGAGACCCCTGAGGACTGCAGCGATGCCGAACCACTGGCAATGGCGGGGTGCGCAGTATGTGGTTGCCTCAAGGATGTGAGGAACACCTGAGTTTGTTTATTTTCGCAGGGAGCATCAACCATGTTCGGAATCCTTTTTATACGGAGAACATATCACGTGATATATATATATATATATATATCATATTATATATCGTTCTGTTCTTATGAAACGAATATATACACATATATATATATATATAATTATATATATATATGGGTGTGTACAATATATAATTTGACCCTAACTAAATCCAAGTTTTGGCAGTGATGTGCCCCTAGTTGCAAGACTCATGCTATACATGTCCACATTCTTCCAATCTGTCTGGATTCGGGGAATACCTCATTTGCCGGCCATTCTACGTTATATGATGTGGTATGATTCACCAGTCAACTTGGGGTATGCCTCACTTTGGGAAGCAACGAAGCTATGTGTTGATAGGTGAGTGACCCACCAAATAGCATCTGGTTATTTAACAGTTTGCCATGGAAAATCCCCATTTCTAATAGGTAAACCATCTATTTCTATGGGCCATGGCTTCCATGGCTATGTCAGCCATAGAGGGTATGCCTCAATCCATGGACTTAGGCGGGCCGCAGTTCCACGGGTGTGGGCTCAGAAGCTTTGCCGGTGCCCGATGACTTGTTAGATGAAGAGCAGCTCGTGCTTGTTAGATGCCTGAGGAGACCGTGGGTTGTTGGGTTGTTGACCAGATCCTCCAGCATACAATAATAAGCGATGGGAAATCCATGGTTGTTGATTTAGTTGACTGGAGGGTAAATGCGAGGATTAATAAGACAATATATTGTATAATAATTAATATATATATATATATACATATAGTATAATATTTGATTATATATATATATAATAATATTTATATATAATAAAGATTATCTAATCACATTTGTTGGAATGGGATATGATGAGATGCAATTGTGTGTATATATATATATGTACACATGTATTTATATATTTATTTATTAACTGCATACATATATTTACATAATTAAATTTATTTATATACATACATGATCATATATGCACACATTTTTTTTAACCAGTAATATGATACTTTGTTTGTCCCAAATCATCACACCCCAAAACGTCAATTTTAATGGAAAACTTATACAATATATTTTGATAGTGCACCGTAACTCGGGGTGCCACATGTTCAGAGAAACCCATATAGCTACAGCCAGTGACTCCCATTCACACAATTCTATCACACCATCACTTGGATTACAATATTATGCAGATGAGATAAAAAGGGCTGGCTAGTCTCATTGGTCATGAGGTTCAGCGTACTCATGCATAGATCAGGTGCATGGTGAGATTTATGATCAGTTGGCGTTGGGAAGACGTCCTAACTTTCAATCTATCCCAGGCCACACCCAAGGCTAAGGCCTGAAGCTTCAGGCTTCCCAAAGCTGGACCTGTTTGGTGTTTCAAACAAGGAGGAGCTTCTTAGGGTTATAACTTATTACATTATGACACATTATGACATCTTATGAATTCTTATTATGATGAAATAATATGTACAAATAGGTGCATTTGATGATCTGGTAAACTAAGATAGCTATGGAAAGTGGTCCGCTTATAGATGATTTACCTGGTAAATTGCGAGTTTCCATAGCTCCCAGTATGTTGAATTTCCCAAGGGATACTATGAACATTTAATTTTCGATTGTGACTTTGGCAAGGAAAACAATCTTGGCCGATGCAAACTTTGGCATTTTTGAGAAGACAACCCCACAGTTCGATCAGGTTGTGGGAGAAGTTGCTGCAGTACATGGCAAGTGACTCAGCTGCAGCTGGGTTCCCAGATGTTCCCAGTGGCTTCCCAGTGGCTTCCCATGGCTCCAGTGGCTCCAGGGCCGAAACTTCGAAACCCAGGACGATGTCCAGTCACAAGCTCCATCACTCGCTACCCTGCGGTGAAATCTGCACTGGACTACTATCGACCCGATGGCTTGTGACTGAGCTGTGATGCTGGTGTGCTGGTTCTGTGCTGGAGATATCACGAGAGACCTGGGAGCATCAATTCTTATGAGGTTGAGATTTAGCGCAAGATTGTTCATCTATTTTTCGTGGTGCTGTTGATGGATACGATTGTGCAACATTGTGCAGTATTGTGCATGTTCAAACAAATTCGGGCACTTCAGGCAGGTGTGTGACTTTTTGTCCGAGTTGCTCATGCCATGCTCGTGTTGTCGCAAGTTTGCACGCGATTCAAATGAGATCAGACAGGATCAGTCAGATAGTCATAGACATCTTTCCTTAGATGTTATTGATGTTGTGGATCCTATTGCATTCATGGGTAGGTTTGATCACCACCTCACGTCGCGACTGGAAACTTATGGTTAGGACCTAGGATTGAGGTAACTATCCCCAAATGGCCGACCTCAAACCTTGGGCGCGTGGCCCAAGGGGCAGCAGCGTGCAACACGTTGCCGTTGTGACGAGGATTTCGGGCCATGCCTATGCACTGCTGGAAGCACGAGAAGTGCAACTGGTCCACGAGGCGTGGTCGATCCCGGGATAGGAAGCGGAAGTTGGACCCAAAAGTAGGGCTGCCGAAAACATTCCGAATGCATCCGAATGCTTAAAAGATCACAAAAAGCGACTAAAACGAGTGAGACAATGTGAAACAAAGGATCATCCTGCTTCGCTTGTCGTGGAAGTCAGTTTGTGCAGCCGTGTGGTTGTAGAGAGAGCTTTCGCAAGGCAAGTAGGAGAGAAACATGGCTGCACTGCACAGTCTTTGTTTGTCTATTTTGGGTGTCCAGCCTTTGGTTTTTCGGCACGGTGTCGTTGCTTGACTCGCAATCCGTGTTATTTTTGTCAGCCACAGAAAGATGAATACATCGAGATACCATGGTTGATTTGCTTGCATGTCATATAATGTTTTATAATAAATCTATATATATATATATAAAAATATGCGCGTGAATCCCATGTATCGGCTATATCGGTTTCTAGTGCCATGAAAGCAATATTGATTGGAGAGAATATTGCAATTACCCAGTCTCAGCCATACAAAGTTATGTGGAGATGCCAACACTAAGAATTTCCGATGATTGCTCCATTGATAGACTAACAGAACTATGGAATACAACCATGTTTAATAGGTAAATCAAACTGTTAAATTACCGGAGGGCACTTAGAAAGAAATCAATTAGTTAATTACGTTAATTTGTTCTTCTCCTGGGCCTTTCCCATGGTTTCTGCATGGATTATACATACAAGAAGGCCCTGCTTGATTTGACTTGGGATGGATGGGTCAACCCAATTCTAAAGATTGCCACTTGGTGCACGCAGTTGATAAGCCATATATGGAAAGCTGAGGTATACAGGTACATATACCTTGCTATCCCTTTCCCATAATAATATTTGAAAATTGGATTGTATAGCTCCCACTTTAAGCAACTGTGACCGCTGCATCACCATTGTTATCCGTTATATTCCCATGAATATCTCCTGTACACTGTAACCGTGTTTGAGTTTGTTTTGTTCTTTTAGAGGCTACATAGCTGACATGTATAGTTTATATATTTTTTTTGGTTTGTTAATTTAATATATATGTATAGATATTTAAGGATACATGATGATGCAGTTAAATATCTATAGGTATCATTATATATATATATATATGTCTATCAAACCATTAGATATCATAAATCCTAGCTAAATCCTAGCTTCGGGGTTCGGTTGCCCTTCCTCACCGAAGCTTAGGGCCGGCGCCTTCGCTTGGTGGCACTGAAGAACCCGCACGGGGACTGGCGTGCCGAAGGAGGCCGAGCGGGAGAACTCAACTAAGATAGCTACCTGGTACATTAAAGATTGCTATCACATTGATATCTATAAATATACAGTATATAGATGATTTACCTGTTAATTTTGCCTTTTTTTAATAGCTATGTTAGTTATGTTAGTTTTACCAGAGGGCCCGTGTTTATTTAATTCCTTCATAATTACCATATACCATAGAAGGAAAATGCGTCGGAGAGGTATGATATATACACGCGTCACATACAAACAAGTACATAGATTGAAGCCATGTTTGAATATAAATAGATTTCTACACGAGTTTTTGATTGTATCATCTATCTAAGGCAATGAGCAGGTCTTGTGCCCTGGCACCGGATGTGTCAAACAGCGCGGGGTGTAGACGAGCTGCAGGAAAACATCGAACATTATGATGGCTTTCTGATGGGTTCCTGTTTGTTCTTCCTTCCAACCATGATCTTATGATATCTATAGACTGATTCTAATGAGTTCAAGGGCACAAACTGTTCCTAAATCCACCCAATCCCGAATTTGACAGAAAAAACAATGCAATGCACGTTCCCGATAATTTGGAACCACACCCGTATGTTCCCTGCTAAGTTCCTATACTTTTCCTGTAGCAACGCTCAAACAGATAGAGCACACAGGCAAAGGATTATGCCACAACTTATATAAGGTGGTTAATTACCCATCAAATTATCTATAGTAACTCTCACACACCATAGTTCAGCTAGTTCAAAAACATCTTAACCAATTTTGCGGACAAATTCAGGCACCACCTTGCAATGATCCGTTATCCAAAAATATCCCCATGATATCCAATGTTATCCATTCATATCCCCGTTCTACCACACATTTTGTTGGTTAAATCCCCAAGACCCAGTCGCAACTGTCCGTCTAAGTATGGTTTTAAAAATGTTTTCTAATACCCATAATCATCTATAACCCATAGTTAAGCTAGTTGTAAACCAACATCAGCATGTTTGTTGCCTACGTTTGTTGCTTAAACCCCTCATCAATAAGACCCCAGGGTTATTCCCATGAATTCTCAAGGCTTATTCCATGTTATTCCCATGAAAAAACAATGGCTTCAATATGCTTCGTAACTTTCCCATTTGTTGGTTCAACCGAGGTAAAAACATCCCCCCATCTGTCGGTCCGTCGCTTAGCACAGCGGTGCGCACAGGCGCCTGGTCCTGCACCTGGATGGGTGACTGGGGCCATGATTCGCCGTTGTGGCGGAAACATCCGGAGGTGGCCAGGCAGCTTGTGCCTTGGCGAATGGCCCAGACAAAAACATGACCATGGCCTATATGTTCGATATGATTTACCATGATAACCATGTTTTTTTTGGTATAACGTGGTATAATTATGTTATCTAGATTATGTTGTATGTATATTTTGTTTTTTTGAATGGTCACCATTCTGGAAAAAATGTGCAGTTTTGCATGTGGTTTAATTTGTTCAGATAAATGTTGTCCAAACAAAATGGCTTTTGCTACAAGGTTGAATGTCTGAGCCCCATCCTCCTAGTACTACAGCAGCTAAATGGGAACCAGTAAATCTGTATCAAAAACCAATACCTGGTTCGTATTATTATATATTATATATGATTATGAATTATTGGGTATCTGATTATGATTATTTAATGTATCATACTTGGGTGAACGGATTCGTCAGGCCTGAGGGGGGTAAAGTCCGAGATAATGACTATGGATGGTCGCGACGGCGTAGCGAGATTCTTTGGCAGATAGCTATGAAACTCAACGAATCCCAAACAAAAACATAGATAGGAGTCATGAGGGCCTTCATGGGTAGAACAAAATGGGTGTTCCAATCGAGCACGAGATCTGATGGTTTCCGCAAATCAAACATGGCAATGGGATTTTTGTTGCTAGTTGTAGGTTATAATATGTTAAAATATGTTATATAAATATGTTATTATATGTTATTATATGTTATTATATGTTATTAAATATATGTTATTATATGTTATTATATGTTATTATATGTTATTATATGTTATTATATGTTATTATTTGTTATTATATGTTATTATTTGTTATTATATGTTATTATATGTTATTATATGTTATTATATGTTATTATATGTTATTATTTGTTATTATATGTTATTATATGTTATTATATGTTATTATATGTTATTATATGTTCCTATTTATATCCATTTCTATGGGATTTTCCAGCCACGTTTGATGACCGGAGGGTATATACATACTAATTAAACAGCTAACAAAATGCAGCGAGCCTTGGAAGTTGCTGCAGACTCGCGAGGAACGTGCCGGTGCCATGGTGTCGCTGCAGCCAGGCAGGGATTCTGTGAGTTGTTCCCAAAGATTCAAATGAATTCAATATAAAACATCCCATAAATGGTCCGAATTATGTGGAAAATCCCTACTAAATCATGGTTCTAGGGGAGTGTTTAATATTAGGGGGAAGGGGATACATTGAAATATCGTGTTCTTCTATACCATGCAAATCTCCGCTTGCAAGATGGACTAGGACTGTTCCGCAGTCAGGCGACGTCAGCCCTAAAAGTCCTACCAGGGCAACGCAGATGTCTGTCTCTCGGCGCTGAGGGGCTGCACTTTTGAGGCAACAGAATCTGTTTGGAATCTGTGATAATCATGACATCCACAGAACACTTCAGAACGATGACTTTGTTATGTAGGTGTCGGCTCAGGGGTATGGACAGTCAGGACTGATGACACAGTCGTCATTGACTTTGATATGTTAGGATTTCTGGATAATTTTGGGGTTAGCTTCCTAACTTACCTCCAGAGTGGCGAAGCTTAGGGGCAGTTTCGTGGTCCCTTACCGGCACATGATTGGCTTTTCACCGACTTGATCAGCAGGCAGTAGATGGACACTGCCAGATGTTTTGCTTGCCAAACCAACTTATACCCTATAAAATCATCCCCGTTTTTGTTCTGAACAGATCAGTACTGAACTGTTGTTAGTCAACAAGTTGCTGGGATGATTGCTGAGTGAGCCATTTTCCAATGACAGAGACTTATTGCGTTCAGTCCGCCCTGTGCTGCTTGCCAACCATACCATGGTCCCTCCGAGGAATCGTGCTTTTGGATGCCATGGGTGTCTCACTTGAACGGTGGGCTGCACCGGGACCAGGGCAGTTCGCGAGCCTGCAAACACTGCTATGAATAGGATACATCAAACGTAGCCACCGGGAGTCCCAAAGAAACATCACACAATAGTACAGGCTAGTATCGTATCCACGACAAATAGGAAACTCATGAGCATGACCAGAGGAACAGAAAACATGTCACCTTCTAGAAATGTTGTTGAATTTGTGCACGTGCGAGGTTGAATCTATTTGTGTGTCCCACAGTGTGTGTTTTTTCTTCTGGACGAAACGTCTCAACGGACCAAACTTGGCAGAGTGCCCATTGTTTGACGTTATGCATTTTATGTTGGTAGTCAAACATATTATTTGTCAATGAAGGATCAATCAGTAGTACATTCCTATAGTGTTGTCATATCGATTTTACATGTACTTTGATGTACTTTGTTGGAATGCCATGTGTGACTTGTGCTCATTCACCGTGCTAGGAAAATCAAATCCGTCCAAGTCTGTGGCAATGCCCCCTTCAAAGTCGGCCCAACACTTCACAGAAACCGGATGCATCAACGAAGATTATCAGCGGGATATTCCCTCGAAATATCCATCAACACCCAAACATGCATACGGATTGCCAAAAATAAACCACCAGCTTCTAGATTCAAGTTACCCCCTTCTTCGGAGGTCCATATGGTTTTCAGTTTTCAGGGCTACAGGTCTCGTATCACGATTGGATCTCTGCAGCCAAGGACAGCTTCAAGCTCACCTTTGACAAGTTGTGTGTCATGCCCAAGCCCTTGAGTTTGGACCTCAACTGGGCACGGGATGTGGTATGACATGGTGACTGACCATGTATGACGACCCATGTTTTCTCACACAAAGACCAATAAAGACCAGCCATCCATGGCAGTGCTAGCGCCTGATTTTGGTTGGTTTTGTACGTTTTACTCGCATGCGATCAATGTGTTGGTGCACAGCTCCATAAAAGAAAAGGAGCTTCTTCCAGAGGAACAAATGAACACATTACTATCACATTACATTACAATGAATCAGCCAGGTCTGACGGTCCCACAGTTTTTCTTTTAAGCAAATCATGTGTTTTGTCTAAGGGTCCCCCTGAGATTCTGAACTCAGCTTGGTTGATTAGGTGGCGATCCATCAGTGGATTTGACCACACCTGCCACCATTCCTACCGTGCGGCGCGATGCGCAGACGGATGCTTGGCGCAGACGGCCAAGTGCCCTCAGTTGTGCTCGGATCGAGGCACTTTCTGTTGAATTTCCTGTATGTATTGTATGATTACCGTGATTGTGTGTCTCTAATTATTTTGATTATGTTTGATTGCTATGTATACATGTTACTGATTGCTATGTTTTCCCTTCAGCATCATTCAACAACCCTATCCGTATGTTTGTAACCCCCTTTTTGAAGGGCGGCTGATAAGGTTTTTTTGCTGGCGCTTTTTCCAGCTTGGGCCTCGCTGGGCAGACGGTTGGATGCTTAATAATTCCCATGGCCGCAAAGATGACAAAGACTCAATTTGTTTCAGGGTTTTGAGGGTCGATATGTATATATATATATATACGTACATAATCTGTGTGTATGTATATGTTGTGTTATTTTATGTTATTTAATTGTATTTCAATATATTTCTTTATATCACATTTGATTACATTGTATTATATTGTATTATATTGTATTATACTGTATTATATTGTATGTTCCCGTAATATCTTTATATATACATGGATTTGTCAATTCCATGATGGGCTCCACCAAAACCAGGGTTGCTTGGGACGGAGCCACCAGGATGCCGTTGGCGATGACCTGTGCCCCAGCCTCTCCAAGTTGGCCTCCCTCAATTTGAGCAGCTGGGCTGATGGATCCAAGTGAGACTTGAAGAGATGGCCACATGAAGAATATGAAGATAGTTATGATAGTAAAAATATATTGCTGATAGAATTTAGCCTTTGTCTAGCGGCTAGACTCCTTGAGATGGCGACCGAGAGAGAGAGAGAGATATATATATATATAGATAGATAGATAGAGATGGAATTTAAACATTGCTGATAATCTGATACCCAAAAAAAACACAGATGTGGTAAGCCGGTGTTTCCGAAAGTCTGATGTGGTACATTGTGTGTGTGTCACTATGTGCCAATATGTGCCAATTAGCGAAAGGCCATGACTACGACTGACATTTGCGGTCAAATCATGGGTTAAACAGTTGGTGCACGTCAATTAGAGAAGAAAAACTCACATCCATGGTACCAGATACCTATGAAGTTGGTGGCGAAATTGGGTACCCAACAAACTGAGAGATTGGACAACAACAGCGTGAGTACACACTCAAACATAAGCGGCAGATAGACCCCCAGATCTGGTGGTCTTGTGCTCGTAGGGATGCATGGTGTCAGGTTGGCTCAGACAGCAGACAACATTGCATGATATTGCATGAGTCAGTAGTGACAACATCAAGCAATGCCGGAGTTTGAAGAATGACAATGTATATATATATATATATCATTGAGTATAAATATATATATATATTATTGAGTATTAAATATATATATTATTGAGTATATATATTTATTATTGAGTGTGTGTATATATATATACACTGTACGCACAACAGAATAGACACGAATTATGTTACATTTCTTTAATGTTCTTTAATTTTCTATATACATATATATATATATATATATATATATATGTTTTTTTCATCATGTACATTCACTCATCCAATGACTTAATGCAAACTTGCCCCGTATCATCCGACGTTATTGGCGTTTCTTGGCTGTTTTGAAAGCCAACTTATCTTGGTGATTAGGGCTCAGACCCCCATGATTCATCGTAATTCTTGGTTAAGATTATAGATGATTATAGATGATTATAGATGATTATAGATGATTATAGATGATTATAGATGATTATAAACTATTATAAACTATTATAGATGATTATTATAGATTATTATTGTATGTGCCATATCATATCCCCGCATTTTTAAAGTTAAGACTATCCAACAGTGGAGAGTTTTGGCGCTCCATGGAGAGTTCCTGGATGCGATGGAGATGTCAGGCGCGCTTGCAGTCATGGGGGATCCCCAATAGCTGGTTGGTTTGGAATGGAAAATCCATCTATAAATGGATGATTTAGGGGGTACCCCCCATTTTAGGGAACCTCCACACGCACCCACATATATATATATATATACATACTGTATATAGGTCTACGGTTATTCTTGTCATTTTGTTCATGTCATGTTTATTTTTCATACTTTCTTTGTTGCTTGCAGAGACATACGGTCAACAAATCCTGTATGCATACCCGTGGGTGAACATGTGCAGATGTGTTGTTGCACATAAACAGATAAATGCATATACGTTTTTCAAAAACTGTTTGTGTGCATATATGTATTGGAGAAATGCAATGTTCATTGGATGGAACAATATTACGATATGTTGCAATATTATATTTACTGCACAGAGAGAGAGAGAAAAATGTGTGTATATATATATATATGTATATACACATCCATATACATGCAGCACATGCATGTAAAGTCGCTCAAACATGCACAGACCCAGGTGCAGATGTACTACGCACATATCTATATCAAGATACAGTGTATAGCATCACAGGTAGAATCATGCAACAAAAGTAAGTACGTACCCTTTTCTAATCTAACATAGCTGTGGAAAACCATCACTACTAGTAGATACATATGTCATCTACTTTCACGGACCATTTTCCGTAGCTATGTTAGATGGCTAGAGGGTAAATTGTTAATTTATAGGGCCCCACAATGATGGGACCTTCATTCCCAGAATATTCCCATACGCAGAATAGGGTTTTCTGAAATGGGAGTACTATGGAAGTAGTATGGGAATGGGAGTCCCATTATTGTCCCAAAAAAAAAAACAAAATCTCATTGCCCCTCACTGTATCGCAGGTCTTCTTGCTTTGGGCTGCTGCGGCATCGTCGAAGGTCGCAGTGAAGCAAAAGCCGCAGGCGGTACCGGCCAAGCACGTGACCATGGAGGAGTTTTATCAACGACCCTACTGCAACACCAGCACCCGGGACATGTACAACTGCGTTGGAAAGCCTTAGAAATGGTAATTTAATGGGACTTAATGGTGGCTTAGTGGGACTTAAACCTGTGAGAAACATGTTGAAACCCGGGTGTTTTTCATTTAAAGTGGGACAAGACGCCATTGATTCTGGATATATATATATATGTATATATATATATATATATGTATGGTGCATATTTATATATATATTTTTATTATATATATATATGTTGATTTATTTATTTGTTTATTCAGCGAGGAAGATTGGGATGCCTACTGAAAGTGTCACCCGCTACAGAGAGCTGCTAAAGTCACGCCCAGATTAGCGATATTTTTTCTAATATCACATCCCTTATCTCACACTTCACTTTCAGATTCAATATTCATTTTACAACAGACATTATCAAAATCGATCCAGCAGCGACTTGCTCTGCCGCCCATTCAACTCAAAAATCAACACTTCCTTAGGTTTTACTATCTTTGAAACTTCCGCCACCGCCTTGTGTGGTACTACTGGTATCAGTTAATCAAAATGAAGCAAAGATTTCCGCTGCATTTAGATGGTGATTTGGGTTGCAGGCATGACATAGGCATGACTTCCTGGAAACTGCATTTAGATGGGTTTAAAGCAGTGACTTAGGCATGAGTTTCGCGCTTTCCTGTACATCCAGTTATACTACTGGAACAAATTGAGCGGTAGAGGACTTCTAAGCCTGCGATCTTGCAAAAGGCATGCCAGTTGGTTTGGAGATGTTCTTAGCGAAAGCAAAGAAATACATGTTGGAAGCGGGGAGGAACCCGACAAGTTACTTGAACCGCACCAGCGGTGGAGGCAATCTCTGTATTCCCAGAAGGCAGGCAAGCCTTCCATGGCGGGCCTTTGAGTTTTCATCATGGGGTGATTTTCTGGTTTTATGATGCTGGGCAGAGCACAGTACATCCACTTTTTGGTAAGAGGTAAGAGGAGGAAATCATCACCTTCAAGATGCAGGACTGATGTGCTAGGATTGGTGTTAAATAGCAATCTGCCAGTTGTACAAGCTGCTTCTGTGTCTAGATATGCATATGGGGTGAACATGTGGCACCCAGAACATCATGGAATCATGGTGCATCATATTGTGTTCTCCATCAAATGGCACATGTGTGGCCATACCCCATTAAGAGAAGTTGTACATCATTGATTTTGTTTATTTCCGATTATACCTCCCACCACTTTCTAATTTATATATTAGATTGTTATTAAATCCCTGTTGATTTTATGTATATCTATAAACAACACCCAATATATACATAAATATCATTCGCATTACCCATTTGGGGTTGTAGTTGAAACCCTCGGCTTTTGCCTTCCAACTCTGGTTGACGAGTTGCCCAGGTAACCCTGTGCCGCCAGTGTCAGGATACATGTCACAGGCGCCGGAAGGGTTATGGAAGTCTCATGGCCGAAGCAACGAAAAGCTTCAATAAAACGGACTTAACACAAGGATATACAACTCAAGATAACTCAAGTCTAGATCTATGATAATTACATATAACTACAGTATATGTTCTAATGAATTTTCTAATGAATTCTAATTGTGATCGCAGTGTTTCCAGGAATCTCTACCAACATATCTCCAAAGTCGTAGTTCCAACAGGGTTTCAAGGCGGCCCATCGAACATGGCAATGGAAGATCCTCCATGGCATGTTTCAGCCAGAAAAATGTTTGATTGCCGGAGGGTAACCTGTGCTTTTCCGGAAGTTCCAGGACAATCTTATTCTGGATGCTGGATGTCGATATAATCTCTTTGAGAGCAGAAAGGCAGCAGAATGTCTTAGTGGAACTTGGCTCCTTGCCAGACCTTGTTCGCCTTGTTTGATGGCTGCACCATCTTTCTTGGACCTGGGTCTGGCTGATCTAGGCTGTCGTAGATAACGTGTATGTGCAATTGCAGAATCCATTGTGTCATTGTCTTCTATTTAGCTTTGAAAGTAAAAGAAGCATGAACATGTTTACACTCGGAGAGGGAGGTGAGTTGCACATAGTATTTTTAAGTTTTTTTCCATATCATGAAGTGCAAAGGTAAGTCCAAAGACGGAAGATATGCCCAATGATTGTATGTGGATGTGGATGTGTTTATGTCTATAGCGCAATCCCCCAAAAGATGGAAAATGAAGCGCTGAATGACTGAACATTTAGGCGATTCCTGGTTGGTAAGCGAGTTATAAACCACGAACTAACCCAGCATCCCAATGATCTTCCATTTACTATCTTAAGTTAATTAATGTTAAATAGTTAGTTGACTAACTCTGACTAACTCCGCCCATCCAAGCATGACATGAAAATCGCTCAGGATCTTGATCTTGGGCTCGTCGAACACCCTGTTGGAGCCACTTGTTGGAGCCACTGGCGTCCACCGTTTGTTTTTTTGTTTTTAATACGAAGGACGAATCACTGCAAAAGGGAACAAACAATGGTTAATCTATGGTTAATCTATGGTTAATAATGGTTAATAATGGGAATAACAATATAATCAATATATCTGATTGGTGGTTTGGAACATGAATTTTATGTTTCTATATATTGGGAATTTCATCATCCCAACTGACTTTTATTTTTTTCAGAGGGATTGAAACCACCAACCAGTGATAGAATCAACAATAAGTGATTTACTAACCAGCAACATCCAAGATCATCCAAGTATCCCATGATTTTTTTCTTGGGAACTCACCAATGCAATTTTCCTCAATTTTCTGTTAAATCCCAAAGGGTTCTTTAAAATAATATTGGAGCTGCCAATCTCCGCACCCTTCATCAGAGCATGAAAAATATCAAATGTTGCAAGGATCCTTTGACACAAATCCACATAAATCCATTCACCACTGAACCTGAAGAAATTTAAAGAAGCCTTAGTCAACTACAGTGTCAACAGTCACATTTGCTAGTCAAACATCCGGGTCATAAAATCAAAGATCAAATGGATTTGCTGTGGATGCTGTTCTCCGTTTATAGATTATTTTCCAATTCAAAATTATGGTTTTCCAGTTTTTTCCAGTGCTATGTTCAATAACTGGAGGGCATTGTTCGATTCAACGAATACTTGGGTTTCTTCTGTCTGGACTCATCCGCTGGAGAGGCCGGCAACACCTGGCTCGACCTGTTTTTTTGGTCAGAAACCAATGTTTTTTTCGGATCTTTTCGGTTCGGTTCATACCCTCTGGTAAACTAACATAACTATGGAAAATCACAATTTTTAATGCGAAAATCCACTATAAATTTTCAATAGCTATGTTAGTTTACCAGAGGGTATACTTCCTTTAACTAATTCAGTGAGGTTCAATAACCTCGTGAATTTCTTGGCGCCCAATGAGTATTTCATCGACCGCACCGGAGAACTGATTGGCGTATCGTCAGTGGTGGATGTGATGATTCGAGGTGGGAAGCTTGGCTGAGAGCCAATATCCAGCCAGGCTGCAAGCGGTTTCAAATCCCAAGATAGATAAATACTGTAGCGGCTAGGTTTCTCGCCATTGAACATCGAGGGAAGCTACTTCTCCGCTTTCGCACTTCTCAAATCGTCTACCCTATGGCCATTTATATATAGTGAGTTTTCCGATTAAAAATTGTGATTTTCTATAGTTATCAAGTTAGTTTACTAGAGGGTACTGGAATCAGAAACCAGTGATGTGCTCTTAGGGGTTCCAGTGACGGTGGACCTTGATTTTCCAGGTGGATTCTATGGTATATGGGTACAACTATGGCCAGATAGGGAGTTTTTAACCAACGCTTAAATAACGGCACTAGGGGCACCACCGACCTTGTGTCGTAACATGTGTTGTGCTCCTACCCCAAGAAATTTGATGCCAATCGGCCAATAGATGGGTACTCCAAATGCCATCTCAGTGCGTTTTTTAACACCAAAAAAACATCAAATATAGTTTCAGATGTTTAGAGCACTGGAGTAGGTTGTACATAAGCACTTGTATAAACAATATCAGTATCACATATTAAAGGTCCCAAATTGCCACTGGGATAGCTCTGCTTTGGGCAACTTTTAGGAAGCAAACATGCCCAGAAAACCCCAGTCATGTCCGTTGCTCCATGTCGCTCCCAGTGAGGAGTATAGCAAACTAACCACGTAGGGGCCATCAAGGGCCCTCAGTGTAATTCCATCAGTCTTCTAGCCGTCAAACCCATGCATGCAGGTTTGTTAAGAACATAGAGAGAGAGAGAGAGCTATATTGCATATATATATATATATACATATTCACGTGATACTGTGACAAACTCAGCAATAAACCATCCCGGATCCCCAATATTGCTGTACATTGGCAATCAAAATCATCCCCAATTTGGGTCGTTTTTGGCGTAAGTGAACCACTGAGGAAGGTGATCCACTGGAAAACCATGGATGCAAACCAACCCGACTGCTCCTTATACGGAATGTGCAGAGGTGGAACATTTCGTGGTAAACTGAGGTAGTTCTAATGGTTGTAGACCATGCTTGCTGTCACTAAAAAATAGCCCATTGAAGACCTTCAGTTTCACGTGTTGTAATGAAAATGTACATAATGAATATGACAATAAGACGGACGATTCTGTAAGCCCATTTGCCTTTTTGGTTTAACTTCACACCAGGGGGTTCCATTTCTGATTTTAAGACATTAGCGACTGAAAATTGCCGACCAAGCGTCTCATAAATAATGGTGAATGCCAATGGTCTACCATCAACTTCATTGATCAACAATACATAATAATACATGTATGGTTCGGTAGATTTGCAGGCGCATCATGAGTTTGACGCTAAATTTATCTAAATTTGCATGATCGAGATGCTCAAGATTAAGCGTTTGTGAGCCTTATTTGATCTTACTTGTGGTCACTTTCGTTCCAGGTATGTATATTATGTACATGCATGTGTTTTTGGTATTTGTACGTATGCTATGTGCCTTTGGGAAATTAGGGGAACAAAGCATGGCCTGAAATTGTCTTGAATCATGGTAGGGTAAGATCCAGATATGGGTTGATTTGAACATGCGGTGCACCCTCCGCCGTGGCCATATTTTCAGTAGAAAAGTATTGCTTTAGACCCTCAAATGTTGGGGGTATCTTATTTTCAGACACGGCACCATGAAACGTATTGAAATATCCCACGAAATCATCGACATTTTTTAAAGCAACTCATATGTGTGCAGAATAATGATTGTAATTCATGATGAATTCCAGATACCATACCAGTCTCTGGCGCTTTGGAATGGTGTTTATCTTCAATCCACCCAATGGGATGATGATGCTGATTGACTAATGAACAATGAATGAATTCTTTGTGGGGTGGCTCAACCACCAACCACTTACTGTACAAGTTGGTATCTAATCTAATTATATTGGTAAAACCGCGTGAACCTAGTTGTGTTCGCCAACTTGGCAGACCAAATATACATGGCTGCGAGTGAAAATGTACAGCCCGATCCGTATCCCCCATATGAGGCACTGAGACACCACCATCATATCGCGTTACCTTCCCATTATATCCAGTTTTTACTCTTGGCATGTAATATCCAATTTCTTTCTTGGTAAAATCCCAATGGTTCCTATCAAAACCCCAATGTTTCTGGTAAACAATCCCATAGGATCCATGTATGGTATATATGCTAACATTGGGGGTATATTAATGGTAAATGTTACCATATATGGCATACATGGATCCTATGGGAATCAATGTGTCCTGGTAAAATCACCACTTTGTGACATGTCTTTCGCCCCCAAGAGGTGTGCCTCTCGAGGTAAACAGCTGGACCTCGCAATCGCTGCAAAGCTTCGGCCCAAATGTGCCAGAGCCATGGGGGCTATGTGCTTCGGTTGGCCATGTTTTTTTGAGCGTTTTTTTTTGGGGGGGAGCTGGCTGGTGGATAGAAAGCGGTGCCATGCGGTGCTTGAGCTCGCTGATCAGCCAAGTTGGATGAAGTTGGCAGTAATCACTATGGATTCCCCTGGGCTGCAAGAAACTAATTGAACCAAATAATGGCCATGTCCACATCCATAGTTGATTCAGATATCCTCTGGTAAATGTTTACATAACTATGGAAATTCACCATGCCATCTTAATGGGTAAACCAACTATTTCAATGGCCATGGCTTCAACAATAGCAAAGTGTTAACAAATTACCAGAGGGTACCCTCTGGTAATTTAACATAGCTATTGAAAATTGCCATTCATAGTGGATTTTCCCATTAAAAATGGTGATTTTCCATAGTTACGTTAGTTTACCAGAGGCTAGGCGAATGGATAACATCGCAACCGCTCCCCCAAAGGATGACCTGGGCACAGAAGCTGATGCCTTGGTGAATTCTCTGTGGTGGAAATGATCGTTGTATTAATATGCTGTAGTTAGATGGCTAAACCATATGGTAAACCAACAAACATGTTGTGTCAGTGTTTGGGGACACCACTCTTTAAATCGACCATGGATTCATTAAGCTTGAATGTTCTATGATCAGGATTATTGCTGCATTATTTGATGATGCCAGGCAGAGCATTCTCCAGAAAGCAATGGTGTGCATTGCTTGTGACCGCCCAGAATTTCTAGTCAAAGAGTTTTTTTTATTCTTGGGCGGGTTCTAAGATAACTAACTGGGGTTGCATGTGGTTGCATATTGAATGGTCTCGGATCACATGATGCAATTTTCAGGCCGTTTTCAAGTTGTCTGAAAATAGGACACCGTCCAGTGAACCAACATAGATCTGCAAAAAAAAATGAAAAAACACGTTTTGCAGATTTGGGAACAGCATTGGCTTTCTATATCTATGGGCACCCCGTCAATCCCATGATATCCCAGCCCATGATGGCCCCAGGTTTGAAGATGCGCCGGCACATTCTACAGATGCTTGAACTACCGTTTAGTAGTGTGTTACATAGCTATTGGATATCAACCGCTTTTTAATGAATAAGTCGTATATGGATTATGGATGGTCATGTCTTCCATGGTTAACTGGTAAATTACCGGAGGGGGAGGGTTTTGTCAGAAAGTGAGTTGGTTTGGGTGATATTCCTCCTTGGGATCTAAGGACTGGAATTCTTGTTGTTTGGCTCAACCACAGTGGTGATGTCATGAGGTCTTAGGATAAGACGAACGAGCAAAGGAATTGCTGGTTTCTTCCAATGTTTGCTGGAAAGAAACTCTCTCCCTGTTCTCTCTCTCTCTCTCGATATATATATATATACAATTATATACATATATATTGAAAAACCCACACTTACCAAAAGAAGCGCATGATTTCCACCAACAGCTCCAGGATGTGATTCGCATCACCTTTGTCACGAGTTTCTTCTGGTACCGTGCCGAGCTGGCCTTGGAGGTGGTCGATGCGGACGTGGCCTGGAAAGCGGCCAAAGTGGCGGTGGTGCTGCAGGTTGGAGCCTGGTACATGTGACCCAGCACTGTGGGCGCAGTGTGGTGGTTGTAGCTGGGGGCCCGGGGGTGAAAAAAGAAAACAGGGATCAACGGACTTGTGAGGTGCTTTAAGTTGTGGTGCCTTTTTTTCGAAAAAATATTGTTTAGACCTGGGCAAGTTCTTTGTTTTCAGGGGGATGTTCAATGGCCAGGTTAGCAGAGGGTTGGTGAATCAGTGAAAGATCAACCAATTTTCAATGTTATGAACAGCTATCAGCTATCCGATAAGTTGGAGATGAATCGGCAAAAAATAAATAAATATATATATATGGTTTGGTATTCACCGGGTATGCCCCGGGGTATGGTAGGTTATTTAAGGTAGTATGCTTGTTTATGGTTTTACAGGTTCATGGAGGTACATTGGGTCCCCCAGCTAAAGCCAAACTTGGCAACTTGCCATTGCCGATTGCCATGTGATTCTTGAGCAGTCCTGCAGGGTGACTTGATGTGGCGGATCAATTTTAGGGGATGCACATCCATTTACCGATGTTTTGATGTTTACCAGGGGTGCAGGATTTTTCATGATCCATAGCTACATGGCATTTCAATGTGTTCTGAAATGTGACCAAGTGTAATCAAGTAAACCCTGGGAACCTTAGCAGCACTGCTACTATGTTGGCAGCGCACAACCTACTCTAGGATTTCACGTGGCTCATGTGGCGTGCGGGTATCAATTGCTTGGCTGACAACGGCTGTAAACCATTTCTGAAACCTTGAGATATTCAACGACTTTAAGAGTGATCAATAAGAATGGTCAAGTCAATTTTCAAGAGTCTTGGCTTCTATCTAAAGGCGGCGATTTTGTTGACTTAATTTCATAAGTTCTTCGATCTCTTCGTATTTGGAGCTCACCATTGTAATCATGGTAGGGGTCTTCCTGAATCTCCATGGGTCCTGTGAGGTACTGCTCCATCATCAAGTTCAAGTGGTGCACGAGAGCCTAGGCCAAGCCTGGGAAGACGTTTCCTGAAAATCCTCGGCCTCATCCGCTGAACCATCCACATATAAAAATACTGTATCAATATCAGCAGTTTTCTTTGTTTGTGTATAGCTAGTGGTGTTCAATGTTTTATGTTAGACTTCCATATTGGAGACAATGACTATCACGACAACGACTATAATAGTAATAATGATATAAATGAACAAATAAGCAACCAAATCAGCAAACACACAAGCAAGGAAACACAATCAAACAAACAATAAAACAAACAAAGAAACACAACGATAATAATGATGATCATGATAATGGAAAGATGGATAATTACCTTTCTTTTTAACGAATAAGAATACTCATTGAATGCATTAAATGATGACACTGAAAGCTGCAAGGAAAGGATCTCATCGCGCTGGACTTCTATGGCCAGGGCTTGAAAGTCTACGCTGCAGAGATGATTCTTGACTGAGATTCGGGTCGGATTGGGGGATCCTCTGCATCCAAGTAGAGATGAGGGTCTGTGAAAATGGTGATTTCATGTGATTTCATCAGTAAAAAGCGGTGATACATATATACATATGTATATAATGTATATAGATATAGATATATGATATATGATTATATATATATACACATACTGTAGCTTAATGTAGCTCTATAACCCACCATTTCGTGGCGGTAGAATTCATGTAGAAAGGACATACAATCAACACTATGAAACTTTCTTTGGATGTTGAAACAGTTATTAGTTCAAAAATCACCAAACTTGTTTTTTTTAAACGGACAAGACAAAACCATGATTTTTAGCATGGGACTGTGGGGTCCTGGATTTTTCTCATTTTTGCGGTTGCTCTTAAAATGGTACCCCCAGTGCCATGCGAAATACCCTCTGGTAATTTAACATAGCTATTGAACATGGCACATTTATAGTTGATATACCTATTAAAAATGAATATTTTCCATAGCTATGTTAGTTTACCAGAGGGTACTGCTCCTCAATCCACCTCAATCCAGGCCCCTGAAACCCATCCCCGTGACTTCAGGACCCACTCCTTGGACCAGATTCAGCCCTTCTGCACGCGCGGCCGCGCGAGTGCCTTGGGCTGCTACGTGCAGACGGTCTCCTGGAGCAATGGCGCGAGGGATAAGAAGGCCTACCGGGCCATGAATGCTGCGTGGCTGGAGAATGTGACCGGTGATGCCATGATCGATGTGCATTTTATGGAATTGATGGGCAACAAAAAGTAGAGATGGACAGTGAATTTCTGGTACATTTATGAACATTTATGCCACCTATTGTTGGTAAGCATGAGGTAGTAAGCAGTAGCAAGTGTTTTTTTAGTTTTTTCGAGGAGGAACTTGATACATAAGGGAATTGCCAAGACCAGCAGACTTTGTTGTCCTTAGCTCTTCATGTGATGTTAGAGCTATGGCATCGTTCGCCCGAGGTTCCTTTGCGGAAGGAAATGACTGCACGTGCCACGCCAAGCTTCCGTTGCTTGGCTCTAACAGATGTTTCGGAGCCATGGCATAAATGAGCGCTGCTTTTGGGTTTATATTTAGTTAATCCATGAGCCCAAGTTCAAGAGGTCAAAGTGTAACAATGTATATAAATGCCTTGGTGGTTGCAGGGCCACTGAGGTTTGGCTGTCTCATTGTTTCCACCCGGCATAGTCGATTAAGAAACGCATTTCTGATGTGGGTCAGGATTTGACGACTTTATCAGGCTGCCACAAGTCCAGAAGATCTGGTTGGTACTGGAGTCCCAGATGATTATTCTGATCCCCAGCCAAGATCCATGGCCAAGATATATTTCACCTTAAGGGGTGAAATCACACCCAGTTTACCATTGGCCCTACTTGAAAATCTTGACAAAAATGGATGATGTGGTGCCCCGGCGTCGTTGACCCAAAGGCTTGGTGGATTTCTTCGGTTTGGGAGAGGTGATGCCTGAAGAGGTGGTAGAAGGAGGGTGGGGTTTTAGTCGCTTTGGTTTCCTTTGATTGTTTTGATTTGGCAATGTTTGGCATCTTTTCATGGGATATAACCCTGGAGGAACTTCAGCGATCTGGCGATCTCCCCTGCTTTTTTAATTTGTCCTGGGGGCTGGACTTTGAGTGGTTTGGGGCCAAACAAAAATGTTGTTTTGGTTGCTGAAAGACTTATACAGGCCAGACAAGTCCAGATAAGTCCAGATAAGTCCAGTTTTTGAATCCATGGTGATCAATGCGCTGTAGCGCACCTTGACAGATTTGACAGGGCCCTGAACCTAACCCTGCAAGGGCTTCCCCTGCATTGCGAGGGCTTCCCCTACCAGGACATGGCTCCCAATTGCTCAATCTCTGGATGTGGACAGTGATGCTTTTTGCGCACGTTGACACGTTGGTCGTTGGTGGGTGATGACCAAGCCTGATATTGAGGGGAGTGCTGACAAGGGATTGCGAAACATGTAGAGCGAATCATCATTTTGGATGCCAAGACTTTTCCCCATGTGTTCTTCCCTTTAAATTCAGACAGTTCACACTGATGTTTCACCTGACCCAAAAACTATAGTAACTAGTGGGGTGGTTTGGCGGGATGTTGCTATCCACGCGCCTAGGATGTTCAACGCAATCTGCCCCGCAGAATTGGCAAGTCAGAAAGCTCAAGCAGTTTTCACTGGGACCATGTGCACAGCTGCGGAGCTTAGCTACTCCAAGTGTCCGCAGTATCACAAACTCTGCAAGTACAACACCGAGAAGTTAGGGGGTCCGATTTGCAGCTGGGACTGGAAATTGGAAGTGTGGAGGATTGAAGGAATAGCTGGTTCCATGTGCCTGTGCTGGTGCGTGCAGTTGCTTGATAGCTGTTCGGATGTGTTCGGAAAAAGGGGACCAAAGCAATGATATCCAATGATCAATGGCCATTTCAGGTACCTACCATATGTACGGTATGTAAGGGCATGTAGTAAGGGCTATGTGTTCGGGATATGCCCTCAATTTGTATGGCTTTATTTGATACAGTAGCTCTATTCAATGGGCCCTTAAATTCCTATTGAAAGAAAATGATTGAGCTGTTCTGCAATAGACTCCTGGCAGTCTTCCCACATTGTCGATTGTTGGTGTCCAATCATACCAACTTCCAGTGGTTCCTCATTGTTGTTTTCCTGAAGATCATACAGAATCATACATGTTAGTCCCTCCTTCTTGGTTTACAAGACCCCCGGGCTTCATAATTGGCCCTTGCATTCCCTGGGCTAAGCTGACCAGGTATGAATTGGGCGTGCTTGAATTCCGTTCCCTGCACCTTGAGCACCAGAACATCGCCGAAAATTCTAGCGGCGGATGATGCTGGACTTTGCGAAGACGAGATGAGCCATGGCCAAAAGTCAACCTTGCCTTGATAGAAATGTGAGACTGTTATGACTAACATAGCCATGGAAAATGGCCCATAGAAATAGATGATTTACCTATTATTAAAAATGGTGATTTTCCATGGCTATCATAGTCATAACCAGAGGGTAGTACTTCAATCTTCTGCAAATGGAGGAAGATGGAGATATATGATGCCGTATAACCGCAAAAAACATATCACATGTACCCTCCAGTCATTTCACATATGGAACATCACCACTTTGAAGATGAACACCATCAACCATCCATGGGCCGTTTTCCACAGATATGTTGCTTACCGGAGAGTATGAGACTTAACTTCCTATAAAATGCCAGGTGCCAGTATCTAAGGTTGGCTATGAAACCACCCCCTAGTTACCAAAACATAAACCTCATTGGGAGTAATTGTATATATATATATGCATATATGTGACAATATAGTGGGTAGTTGTTAAGAAGCAACGATTTTTTTGGCGACGGGCTTACAAAATGCAAGTCAGACCTATTCTTCTACATCTAACTTTTATGTTGTTCGAGTTTTGGTGAGTTTATAGAATGTGTTTCAGAGTTTTCTCGCATGTTTTGGCCTTTGTTTGCCATCGATGGAGTTATGGTATGTTTTAAGATTCTGATCTCCGTGAAGGAAATACATAGCCATGACCTGCAAGCCTTCAACGGATGATGCAGCGGATCAAACCAAGTTCTGAGACGTTCAAATCACGTCGGGAACTTATGAAGACAATGTAGACATATATAGTGACATATATAGATTGAGCATTAGCTTATGATATATTAATATCACATACATACTACATGTATACATATACATATATATATGTGTATTTCTTTACGGGTAAATATATAATTATATTATATATATATATATTATATATATATACATTATATATATATATATACATGCGCTATATTAACCGTATAAAAACATTGCACGTGGATAAACCCATGTGTCATCGATTCTCGATCCACTTCTAGTTGATGCTTCACCTGACTGACAGGGGCCTGGAGGCATCGCAGACATGTCCCCATGCAGGAAATTGGCCATGACTCAAACTGATCGTTCCCAACGGGTACAGCGATTGATTTATTTCATACAGCGGGAAGTATCAGATCCTTGCTCTGTTGGTTTCGGTAAGAGCTTTTCTGTTCTATATCTAGCCAGGTTCAGCAAAGAACTGATGTGTCTTGTTGCCCAGTTGAAAGTTATTTGAACATACCAACCATGCCACGCGCTGAATATATGTTTTTTTCGGGGCATGCTAACTGGTAGACATTGTTCAGAAGCTGCCACTCTGGTTTTTCATTCAACCCATGAGAAGTCATCTACATTAATCAACCCTACAAAAAAAAAGGTGTTTTTCCATTAAGCCCATGGAAGTCATCAACCCATATCACCCCCCCAAAAAAAGATCGTGACAGCCTGGAAAACCGCACCAAAACACACCACCTTTCAGCGCTTTCAGCCGTGCTGCCCGAGGAATTTCTCAGCCGTGTCGACCCTGGAGACTGTGCCCACGGGGATGCCGTGGATCCTGTCGCTGACTACGGCGACCCTGGCGTTGGCTTTGAAGCTGGCCTTGTACCTTGGTGGGGCGGCCATGGTCCAAGGTAGCCCTGTTGGTTTTCTGGAAAATGTCATGAAAATTATGGGAATCTAAGAAGTGGTGTTGAGTATGTTTGAGATATTTTTATATGGATTTAAGTGTTTCTTTGGGTGGTATTATGATTTGGGTGTCTTTGAACATGGTGGATTTAACCACCCAAACTACGCACAAATTGCATTTTGTTTGGTGGGAAGGTGAGGGTGCAAATCGTGGATTTTTGTTTGGCGTCCTAGTTTCCATGAAACCCAGATTATCCTGATTGATGGGTATCATGATATGATGCAAATCCCCATGTAGTTGTTTGGTGGTCAAATCATCACCCGTGGTTATCTTCCCATTATTATATACCCAACGAGAGGGTGACACTCATCATGCTAGCTGATGTAAAGGGGATGATTCTGGGTCCCAAGCATGTGTTGGTTTCCCTTTGATTCATCAACTAATCATCAACGGATGCGGTCAATCCAACACGGAAAATCACAACATTCAATATAAAGAATAGGATACTAGACGGCCGGTCATCTAGAAATGGAGTGGTTTTTGATTGCCATGTTTGATTATCGGTGGATCTGGTGGGCATTATACGAGGCTGCACCCCAAAAAACAGCTCAGACCCTTGAGACCCTGGATGTAATAAATAGCAATTCATTACATTAGGACAATTGTTTACACATATTTGTTTTATCTACACAGACCTATGACGAATATGTACAACAACTTGTGGGGTTGTTTTGTTTTTTGCTTTCTTTTGCATCGTCGGTATATGCCAACCAGATGAAAACATAGTTTGGAGGTTATTGAAGATTACTATTTTCTAGTGAAAATGGTATGAATTACCATGAATTACTATTATGTATATAAATATAACCCAAAATATTATAAACCATGGTTAACAAAAACAAAAAAAAGTGGACTGGCTAGATTCACTCACAATGACTTGGAATGGAGATAGGAGATTAAGTATGTGCTAAAGTCAACAAGATCAGAAATCAAAGAACCAATCATTGGGGGGTCATGTCGCATCCTCCCAGGGCTATGCCCATTTTCATACATTTGAATTCGGCATGGTGACTCCTGTTGGGGGTTTACCTTATAATCATTGCATTTATTTAGATGACTTGCTGCTGAAACCCCACCGGCCTGGCGTAGTATGTCGTGAGGTTCGATGTAGTTCTACGGTCACCACTTTGAGCTGGTTTTTGTTGGTGCCGTAATTATGGAGGTTATGTCCCCCAAAAAGTGGGGGGTTCATAACCATATGGTTTGTACTCATGGGGTTCGTGATTTCAAATATGTGTGTTATTCTCAACAATGAAATAGGATGATAATGATGACCCCACTGACATGCTGATTTTTCTCAGGGAGCTGGCGATGAACCATCCACCAGTCACAACCCCAGCTGCCCACGGAGCACCACGCGCCGATGCGAAAGTCACCGGGCCGGAGGCCATGAACACAGTTAACGTTGTGTTTCTTTGTTGTCCTTGTGATTCCTTGAGGATCTTGTTTCCATATCATTTTACAACATTTTGATTTTTGACGCCGGTTTGAGTCGAACTTAGGGCTGTTAGTCTTGATGACTTGTAGCGACATCAAGACACGTGATGTCAACGACAGCTAAGTCGTGCTCCATGAGGCGACCCGCTGCTCATACCCAGTGGTACTCAGATGACCATTGAATCTGATCATCTGATCATAGCTTTGCTGTTAAAATCCACAGATGTTCCACCAAGTTTGAAGATCTTGCGTTCTCCCCGTGCCTTCGCCTAATCAGATTAATTACATAGCTCCCATGGGCCAGGGCGAGGCTGTGCATGACTCGCTTTTGAAGGCGGAAGCTGCCCTTTGGACGTGGAAACAGGTGGAGACAGGTGGAGAGCTGTGGGCTGTGGGAGATTTTTTTAATGGAACATGCACCAGAAATGGAGAATCTATTACTGTAGGGAATATCTTCTATATCTTTGGGGGTCCCTTAGGCCAATCCAAGTTTGGCAGCCATGACAGTTGGCTTCATATGTGCCATGATATACCATGGTCGAGTTACTTGGTTTATTTTCCCCAGTTTCTGCACCCTTTGCACCCTTTGCACGCCTTGAAACCAAGCGATCACCGACCCATCGTTAGCGATTCCGTATAGTAGGCATATGAACTCCTTTGGGGGGGGTATAACCATCTCCTTTCAGTTTCAGGGCGTGCAAAGGGTGCTCAGTTTCAGGGAGTGCAAAGGCCTCTGTGACCCCCAAGATGAGGATAAACTTAAACCGGATCTAAAACCATCAAACCTAGGAATTAAAAACATAAATTCTGAAACGTTCAATGATGAATTTGTCATATTGAGATATATTGAGCATGTTCATGGACAAAGGATCTCACCAAAGAATTCCATCCGTCAAACATGGTCTTTGTTGGCGATTTCTCATAGACTCAGACGATCAACGAATGATTCGCTGCCCAGTGCCCGGTCAGCCCAGTGCCGGGTCATCCCCAGCTCCAAATCAGAAGTCGTTAAAAGGAACGAGTCATCCCCAGGGAACGAGTCATCCCCACCTAGATCCTGGATCCTTGGAAATGATTCATAAGTGTTGATACTATGGATTGATAGTTGGTACAATGGATTGATGGGGATTGATAGTTGATCCTCAGTTATTTGGCACGATCCATATCAACTATCAATTTCCATCAATCCCCTACTCTCACATCGGGTCCCAAAATTACGAGATCGAACACATTCCAGCAGAGTGTTGGTTGCTTTTGCTCGTTTGGCAGAAACAATGCATTGGTTTAGGGGAACATTTACAGGAAAACTCCATATTTGATGGTAAAAACCATGGTTTGCGGTTAAAATTTTCCCTTAAACCAATCCATTGACAGAAACATCAGGACGACGTTCGGCAGAAACGTTCGGAGTTGAAACTATGTCATATTTGCAACAAAAAAAAGCCACTGCGCATTGCTAGCTCAATGTATGATAATGATTGATAATGTAGGTTGTTTTCCTTGATGTGGTGATATCACCGGGCAAATGAGTAAATCATTAAAATAATTATATATATATATATAAATATATATATATATATATGCACAGTAACCCTACTTACTAAAATCTATTAAGAAAATCTGTTAAGATAAACAATATATAAATCACTATATACAGGCCTGTCGGGCTGCAGTGATCGGCGGAGTTCCCCGAGGACCCGTTGCCGCAAGAGACGAAACGACCATCACAAAATCAGCGGCTCGGCAGCAGATTTTTGGATCGGGAAATTTGGGATTTACCCTCTGGTAAACTAACGTAGCTATGGAAAGATCCACCATTTTTCATGGGTAACTCCACTATTTCTATGGCCATTTTCAATAGCTAACTGTCAGTTTACTAGAGAGTAATGGATTCATGGAGATTTGTAACATACGGCAGAGTCTGACATTTGGATCTAAAAGTGACATCATGGGGATGATGATGATGATGATGATGGTATTTTCTTGTATTTTCCCTGGTGGATCTACGCTGAATTGGAGATGTGGGATTTACATTTAAGTCATAGCATGCTCAACTTATGTTGATATACATGATTTATATCATGATATAACATTATATAACAATATGACACCCACATCATTAATGCTGGTTGGTGCTTTGGATTTTTCTTATTTTTTTCCATACATTGGGAATACTGTAGTAACCCCAACTGACTTTCATATTTTTCAGAGGGGTAGGTCAACCACCAACCAGATAAGCAACCAGTCATTAATGGAAATCAACATGGAAATCTAAGTGGATCTACCAGTTGTGTTGATACCCAACCTTCAGGTTGATCATGAAAATTCTTCTGGCACGTGGTGTTCCGAGAAACCGATGGAACCTCCGAATCCGAGACGCGAAACCCATTTTGGACACCCCGAGGGAAAACCCAATTGAACATTAATTGGGTCCATTTTGGTTAGCAGTTCAAGAGTTCTAGAGACAACTTGCAGAGTTGTTTCTTTCTCGACATTGCCTTGGAGATCAAACCCGAAAAGGTATAGTGTATTATATATTTATAGTCGAGGCTGCTGGGCGCTTGAAACCCATTTTTCAGGGTCCATGATCAAGCTTTGATCATGTAGTAACATGGTTCCGGTCCGGGTTGTTTATTTGTAGTTAAAAAACTGTGCATTCCGTGAAAAAAAAGTACCTCTTCATTTTAACCTAGGCATATGATCATGACGCATTGAGTGTTGCATTGTGTCAGCTGAGGTTTAGCATCCCGAAAGCTGGCCATCAATTTGCCACGGGTTTGGCGTTGCTTCTTGGTGGGACGCGTAGAAAGGATTAAAGCCGCAAGTGGTGGGACAGCCATGGTAAAACATGTGAGCAACAGAAAAACATGGACGGATATGATAGACAGAAATAAAAATAGATAGTTAAACATCAAAAAAAAACATAAAATCATGCAAAACCAACAATGCCTAGGTGTTTCCAAGATTGCATGACTGCAATATCAGCGAAACGGTTCATGTGGAAGAAATCCCGTTCTTCTTTTAGGGGTCCAGCTGTTTGACCTGCAACCAAGTAACTATGAATCCACCTCAGCAACTGTTTATCAGGTGAATCACAGCTAGATTTCATTAGAATTTTCAGACTTGGTTTGATTGTACATGTTCGAAAACTCATTTGGCACTTTCCGAGCTATAACATTATAGATTCTATAGATGTTTCACATGGTTTTACTCGATATTTAGATCCTTTTTGCTGGAAATCCCCATGGTTTTGCCCTGCGATTTTCCAATGGACTCGCCCTTAGGTTTCTCGCTTCAAGCCATGTCATCATCAGTGAGATCTTCCAGCAGGGCCTCGTTGCGCCCTGGGACTCCCGTCAGATGGCCATGGCTTCACTAAGCTAAGCACTTAATGAAATCACATGTAATCATGATATATATATATATAGTATATATATATAATTATATAATATTGATAGTGTATGTATATACATGTATATTATCTGTATATTGATAAATATGATTAAATATGTATATCATGAAGCTTACTTGATGGTAGTTGCATGTATGTATACAGTACATATATATATATAAATATTTGTCTCGCAGCAGGAGGGTTAAAACATGTTAAAACTGGGTTGTTGCATTGTTTAGCAATGCCGTTTTCTAGCCAGGGTGCGGAGGTTCATTAAATCAGTTTGTCTTCGATTTGATGGAAAACATGCTTATGAATACCTCCAGGAGTAAGATAAGGGTTAAAGAGTGTTGTATAGACTCCTTGTGCACCAGCATGCCTCTTGTTTGAGTTTGCATACTTATGCAGATGCCATCAAGTATCCCTAAATTTCATCCTTGTTTTTCTGTGTATGTCCTTAGTCTATGCTTAAAGCATGCGCTTGACATACCTCCCCTCAGCAGTGAGCAAAGTGTCACGTCTCTTCTAAATGTTAACGTCAACTATCCACTGTGTGGATGAAGGGGGAACACAACATATACACAATATGTGTCAAGTGTTTGCCATGACTTTATCATACATTCTAAGATGATGAGAAATTTGATATCGCCGCTGTCAGCCTCGTGATCGAAAACTATTTTGCCGGTACATGTATTGTATGCAAAAAAGAATATACACTATATAGGCAAATCGCAACAACCTCACTGTGACATCACCATAAACGATAGTAAACGGAAATCATCCCAAATGACTTGAATTCGGGTTGTTGATTTGGTGAATACATACCATATATATATATATATTTATACACACCATTATATATATATATATATACACCATTATATATATACATATACATATGTGCGTGTGTGTATGTTGTGTCATCGTACACTTAGACGTTTTAGACATGGGATGTCGTTACACGCTTTGCCTCAGGACTGGTATGGCTGGGGAGAAGTCTGGATCCCGTGGCTGTGCCTTGCTGGTTTACCCATGGGATTAGTGGTGTTTTTTTGATGGAACAAATGGATGTTATGAGATTTTTGAGGTGTTTGTTTTACGTTTTTTAAATGGGAAAATATAAGTATAAATGAAATGATGGTTAATGGGGATTTAAACAACAAACGTTGGAATATAATGGGGATACATCTGGATAAAGTATGGCTTAACCTCACTGCAACATCACTGGAATGATGGTGAATGTCGGATAACTGACCCAAAATGACTTGTTCCAGTAGCGGTTCCGATTTTTCCATGACCCATTGGCATTCTGGAATTCCAATCCAAAAGTGTCCTTAAGGCGACCCTCAACTCGCCAACACTTGTTTCAACCATACTTAGGATATTTGGTTGTGAAGACTCATATTTTTTTGGAATCTCTTAAAACCAAAAACCAGCAAAACAATGTACATATAACTTTATATAACTATGTGCAGATAAAACAAATCAATAAAGACATATGTGTATTATATATATATGTGTGTGTGTATATTGTAACCATACAATAAAGCCTCCAGTTGCAGATATTCATTGTCCTTTCCGGTGTATATGTTGGTCGGTCGGCCAGGATCATGGTTTGCGGCTTCATGTTGTTCGCTTCCGAGCTGCGGATCTCTGCCACAGAGGTACCCATGGTACCCGGTGATCCAACTTGGCCATGGGAACCTGACGTGGAAGACACATGTAGATGAATATTTATATATATACATAGGTATTTATATATATATGTGTATATATACATAGGTATATTTATATATATATATATATATACATAGGTATATATACCTATATATATATATATATAGCTGTACAAAGGGATTTAATATGATTTAGTGAAATTTCTATGGGAATTATCTGGGATTTAGCCAACAACAGTGGTGATTCAATATGATTTAACGGGATTTAATGAGGATATACTCTCCGGTAATCAAACATGGCAAGTGGAAATCCAGTGTAAATGGAGCCTTATTGGGAAGATCATGTGCAAATGGTGGATTTTCCATTACCATGTTTGATTACCGGAAGGTTTATAGATGCAATATGTTTGAATGCCAGAGCAGATAACTGGAAGATGATGTGTTTGGAGGCGAAAGCTTTGAAGGGGGCTTAACCGTGTGTTAACTTAACTTGAAGATTGAACAACTTGTGCCTTTGCTGTGTTTGTGTTGGATGATCAGGTAGCAACCTGCACAGAAAGCCTTTTGGGTTGTGGGAAAGCATGGTTTGGTTGTGGTAGTTGGGGAGGATGGGAATTACAATATATTTAATTATATATGTAATATATATTAATATAATATATATATATATAAATAAATGTGATGTGTGTGTTATAAATTATTTATACCATGTTTATTACGCAGTATATATGCGTAGAGAGATGAATCCTTTATAGATGATAAAGATAAACAGTTAAATGCTAAATAACTCAATTAGCATCCCTGTCTGCCACTGCGCCTGCAGGAAGAGACGATCTCAGACTACCAGCAGCGTTGTCCGAGCACATTCTTCTTTTACCCGCTGTATCTTTGTTGTCTTCAAAGAGGATATCAGCAGCAACACAATAGGAAGAGAAGAGGAACAACATATCAACATGAACAGGTTTCCAAGTTGGTCTTTTCCTAACAAGATCTCCGTGTTGTTTTAACTGTGCCCCGTGCCTGGGAGTAACGCAGGTATGCCTTGGGTTTGTTCATTTCCTTCGTCTCGGCCAAGTTTGAGGGGAACCTTGGTCCATGGTAGTTGGATGTTGGAAAGCCAGGGATCAGCCAGTGCCAGGGGAAGCCAGTGCCAGGGGAAGCCACATGTAGCTTCCACATTTGGATTCCCAGAGGCTAGGTGCTATGAATTTGAATCCATCACTGCACAAGATCAACCACACATGCAGCTTCATGGCTACGTCAGGTCCTGGGGACCCCTGGGGCCCCCGGATGTACCCAGGAGGGACCTGAACGCAGTGACTCTGGTAGCGCAAGCCTTTCTGGTTCAGAGCTGGGTCCCAGGTGTTGGTGATCAGTTGCGCCTAGGCGGTGATAGTCTGAACCCCAGGACCCTCTGATCAATTTGAGGTAAAACTATGGTAAAACCCGTATGCCCTGTAGATGGTGCATTAATGCCATTTACTGTTGAAGATGTGGCCTTTTATTTGGGGGCAAATCGGGATTTTTTGGGGGCTTCTGCGGGTTTATTTACTTCCGGTCCTAACATAATGAGGTTTATGACTGATTGATTTAGCACTCCTGATCCTATGTTTTCGTCAAAATCAACGATTGTGATTAGTCTTTGGTCTGGGATGTTTTTCTTGGCTGAAATCATCTATATAGTTACAAATTCTGACTGTTTGTTGGGCAATTTTTGCGTGCCAGGCACGAACCGTGCATATCATTGGTTGATCATGCAGACATACAGCATCCGCGTATTTATGTATATACATATATATATATAATTATATTTATTATTATATAATTTTTAGATATTTATTTAATTATGTATATATATATATATATAAATAATTATATTGACATACATGTACACAGTATGTTATCGTTTGACAAATTTGCTACTACAACAACATTCCACATGTTTAGATATATAGGAATATCATAATCGATCGAACAGGCCATCCATGTGACAATGGGGAAGGAGCTTCAGCTCCGCCCAGGCAGCCACAGTGCTGGTTTCTGAGTTGCCTCGCCTTGTACTGGATCCTCTTTAAGTTTATTGTGGCTTTGCTGACCTGGAGGAGTGTCATCAAACATGTTTAATTTAAGTGTTGAATTAACCAGCAGACATGAGGATATAGAGTGGATAAATGGATATAAAGGGTAGTTGGTTGAGTCCAGATAGCGCGAAAATCAGCTATTTAGATCTATTTAGTGTGGTGATTTTCCGAGCTTGAAACCTCCATTTAGTTCGGGTTTTTCCAGCCATATGTTTGATTATCGAATGGTGTAGCCAACTTTTTTCGACTTGTGACGTATCCCCTGGTTTACATCTATAAAATTTAAAATCAATCATATCAATCATAGGGATGAAACTTGATTAAGGCCCTGACAAAACCGGTGATCTAACCCACTCGTGGCTTGCTTTATTGGTGCATGTTTGGGTTCCCACATGATTGGATGAGGCCGCAAGCGATCTATGCACGGCCGAATATCTATACGATCTATACGCTACACATATATGCAAAAAGTGCATAGAGACTACCATTCCTACAATTTCCTACATACATATATATGTTACATACATTATAAATGTGATATAGTATATATATACACACGTATCGTAAAAACTTCACAGGTTGCTCAGGTTGCCAACCCCGGGATTACCAAAAGCAACAAGCCGGGCCAGGGGCTTGGATGATATCCCACTACATCCATTTGTATGCACATATATATATATATATATATATATTATAAAGTATGTATTTAAGTACAGATACATAGACATATTCTGTCAATTCTTGTATAGATACTGTTCGCATGGTTTGCTCCCCCCTCTCTCTCTCTAATCCAGCCGTTGGCACGTTTCCAGGCACAGAGCTTCAAGCGGCTCAACTTGCTCCAGACCATTTGCTTGATGCTGTCGTTGCTGTTGCTGCCGTGGCCCTTGATGGCTTGGGCCTGGGGTCACCGCCGGGCACATAGCGACCTCACGGATTTGGCGCTGAACTTGGGAAGTGGATGGGAACATCACCCCATCAGCCCCTGGGCCCATTGGATGCATCTGGATGCATCTGAGGCTTAAGAAAACCGAACCAAACAGATGCATTTTTTTGATGGCAAATTGGATCCACTTTTCTTGGCGTTAAAAAAGCATGTTGAAATTCTTTTGAAAAATCAGGGAATCCAAGATGCATTGCCTGGGGACTCAAGAGGAAATGCTGAGTTTGGGTCACGTGTTTTTCCATCGTTTTGGTTTTGAGGCAGTTTGAGCATGATTCGATGCAAGGGGCGGGGACAGACATTCTTTTGGTGCATGTTTTGGAGTTTCCGACGCTGGATGCAGCGACTGGGATGTGCTCCATCGCTAGCTGTGTATAGAAACTAATGCCTTCATAGTTCCTAACTATATAACGTGCTCAATATTTGACTCCTCACTTTATAACAAACTTTGACCTAGCCTGGCTCTTCCACCACAAGTCACGGACGGCCCTGGTTCAATCTTGACCGCGTAAACTGGTCTCATTGGGGTACTGGTGACATCTGGTGACCTTCTTTTTCCACCTGTGGAATCCTGTGGATACACAGTGAGGTAACCCCAGCAGATACACAGTGAGTCGTTGGATACTCATCCCCAAATATACCCTCTGGTAAACTAACATAACTATGGAAAATCACCATTTTCAATGGGCAAATCCACTATAAATGGCAATTTTCAATAGCTATGTTAAATTACCAGAGGGTAGATTTTTATACCATCCTATCGCATGTTTTCAGGGTTTTCCAAGGCTATTTACACGTTTTCCTCCTTGGCATGCTGCTGGCCAAACTCCGCCAGCTTCTAGACCCGTTGGCGGCAGATCTGGGTGACGCGGGTGAAGCGTCCTCGCGAAATCCCTACGTCATTGGATCGCAAGTCTCCTGGGCTTGCTGAGACATGCTGAAACGTTTATTTTCTTTATTCTCCCAATAAATGGGTGCATTCCTGTTCTTTTCTATTCCCAACTTTTGCTGTTTTCTGATTTGGTGTTATTTTTCAAGGTTTATTTTCCTATTTGCTTTAGTTCCCTATGGTTAATGCACCTATCGCCAGCGAATCAGCAGAGGTTTTGGCACCTTTAGGCTACTTGGGCCTGCTGCTGATTCAAAGCCTTCAGGACGGGGTTCGCCGGGGTTCGCTGAGGGTTGATGTTAGAAGGTATGAAATTATGATCCATGTTTATATTATCCAACTATCACCTCACTGTCATAGTTGATTTTGACCATTTATATAGATGATATGATTAGTTGATTGAGTGGGCTAGAAGTGCTGATTTTGCCCAGTAGGTGGTTGGGAAGTTCTCGGAAGTGAGGATTTGATCCCTAAATGTATCGACATGTGTAATAGAGCTGGGTCTAGTCATGGATTATATTGCATTTCATTGCATCAAAATTTGCACAACTTCCAAACCATTCCAGAACTTTGGGTGTTTTTTCCGAACTTGTCCTTGGGAGCAGGCCTTTGCACTTCTGAAGCCACTTCTGCTGTTTCAGGCCAGGGATGGTGGGACGCCCTGCAGTGCGCTTCTCATTGAAAACCATCCAACAATCCAAGAGGGGCAGTTAATTACCCTAGGGTCAACTAAGATAGATGTGGAAAGTGGAAAACGTATGGTTTCCCTACATTGATCTACATTCATGGTGCGTTTCCAGGTCGAACCGTTAATAAGTTATATAGTTTACCGGGTCTGTGCTAGCATGATGTTCACCAAACCATAATAGCTTATTCTTATTCTTTTAAAACTTGAAAAAAAGCGCGAAAAATGCAAACAAAAATTGAAAAAACAAAAAGCAAATCAGCAACATCCAAAAAACACAAAAGCAAAATAACAGGGGAAAAAAGGGAAAACAAAGGAAAGACAAAAAGCAAAAAAAAAAGGAACAAAAAATGGACTTGTCCATTTGCATTTATTTTGCTTTTTCGATTTGCTTTTTGCTTTTTTGTTTTTGATTTCTTCCAGGCAAAAAGAAAAAAAAGCAAAAAAAAAACATCGAAAAAGCAAAAAAAACACAAGTCGACAAGTCCATTGTTTTCCTTGTTTTTCCTTTTTGCCTTCCCATTTTTTTCCCATTTATGTTGCTTCCTGTTTTTTCGGTTTTGAAGTTTTGCTTTTTTATTTTCCATGTGTTTTCCTTTTTTTTGTTGCTTTTTTTTTCAAGTTTAAAAAACATTAGAATAAGCTATAGAGGTGGACATAATGCTAGCAACCCCCATCCATTTACGAAGCACCTTGCAGGCCCCTGACCTACAACTGACAATATAGACAGTTCAAAGCATAAAGCATCAACCATCCAAGTCTTCAGACGGCCCACATGTTCAACCAGACTTAATAAGTGAATCAAAAAAAAACATCTAGGGAAAATCCTATCCCCTTCAATTTTGACTCGCCCCAAGCTTCATGACCCCAGGTCATGAATAGTTCCAGTACATTCCACCATACCTGACCGGAAGGTGCTGATCTTAGCTGGCCTGGTGGGACTTCCAAGCCTTCCGTGGCCTGGCTCGGAGAGGTTTTTTGATTTTGTGTACTGCACCCAGAAAAATGGCATGAAATGCACGTGCCCAGGTTGCCTTTCACGGCCTATGCATTCTCCAAGTTGAATTTCTTGGAGGACTGGGATGTCGGACACATGCAGGTGGGAGAAGTTGAACATGGAGAGCTTGAAACCACTAGACACTAGACCCGGCTTTCCAAAGAACATGAACCCGCGGATGCTGAAAGGATTATTTCTGGGCACTGTATGTGACTTCTCCCTGCCTGCTGGTGCTGTGGCGCGGGGGCAATCTGCTGCTGCTGCTGCTTTTCCTTTACTCTTCGACCTACCTGGTGTCCAACAGCAAGCTGGCGATAGCGCAGGGGCCTGGGCTGTGGCCATTAGGGTTGGTCCCACTGCCATGTTGGTCATGACCATGTCCGAGGGCGCCTGTGGTATCTCATTCTTTCCTAGTTACTTGGGATATCTTGGGATAGTACGCCCCATTTCACCGCAATTGACAGCATCGGATGTTTATGATTGTTTCTGCATGAAATATAAATTATTGAATCAACTTACATATGCTGTTATATACACATGTTGGGACCATGTTTAAACTTTAAAGCACCTAACTAGTGTCTTTGGTTGCACATGTCCTTGCCTCTATCAGGGCAGCTTGCCGATTGCCGAGGTCTCCAAAGGTCGATGCAGAGATGGTGGACATCGAACCCACCAAGGATTTGGCTTCCACCTCTGCTTTTGGCCCTGCTGATGTTCATTGGTTCCCTGGCCTAGCCGTTCTTGTCATTGGTTGTTACTTGGGTGGATGACAATTTATGACAATTTCTTGGCAAAGTTGATGCCTATCTGTCGAGAACACGAAAAGAATCGGTTTGGCCGTGTCTTGTGCTCTTCAAAAAAAACATTGCTAAATATATTATTAGGTAAGTATGAGGAAACTTTGAGGATCTTTGAGACAACGGATCCCATTCTTTTGGGGGGTCAACTGGTTCAGTACCTTGAATTCGGCAGGTTAAGCACCAAGCAATGTCAGCGATGCGTGATCTCAAATTGTGATAGCTCAAGTGGTTAAGCAGACTCAGCCGACAAACAAAGAAGACATTTTTCCCGGTTGGTTTAGTTGTTCAACAAATGGCACTTCAGCGATCTCAAACGCACCAACAGGGGAAAAAAAACGTTTATGGAACAGGGTTGGCTTCGTTTGAAAATAGGCTAACTACCACATGGTAATTCCAGAATTCATGATCATTCTCCCAATGTGTCAATATGTTTTCCCCTCAGTTCCCCATCTTTTCCCCATGGTTTGCCATGTCTCCGTCGTGCCCCAGGTGCCTTGATCCCCAGCACTTCCCTGCCGTCCCTGCCGTCCTTTGTGTTGCTGCAGTCGGAGCTGGTGGACCTTCGGGTGGCTGCGGAGCTGCGGCATCCTGCGCTGCTCGTGACTTGGATCGGTGGACCTGGCGGAGCGGTTTCGGATGGTTTCTCTTGGACAGATCCAACAGCAAAAAATGATGGAAATGAATGGAAATGAACAATCCCTCTAACGTCAATTAACATATTAACATCTAGCACTGAGTTATGTGTTGATCTCTCTTGGGGGCTAATATATGCTAATATATTATATGTTGATGATAGATGTGATGAACTGATGAGCATTTACTATCATTTATTCAGAGTTTCTTTTACATGCTTCCACCCATGATTGAGTATCACAGGCCGAATGCATGTTGTTTTCACGTCTAAGCAGCATGTCAAGCTGATTTGTGGCCCTAGGGGCCCAAATTCAAAACCCTGCATATGGCGTATGGACATGATTCGATAGTTGGTTCACTATACAATACTATACATACACTAAACCAACCATAAACATGATATAATGTTTGGCATGGTATCATGCAAACGTGCAGTAACAATAAACTCTCATTAACCATCATTACAAATATGATATGTTTAGAGGATATGAATACACACATATGTTGATCATGGCTTTTGATGGGATATGGGACACAATATGACAGTTTGCGCCAACAAGACCTCTCCATTGCGTCAAAATCCGTATGCAAAAAAGACTCAGTTTGAGAACGTAGTTAGGGCCAATATCCCTATGGCCAATTAACTATGGTTAACTAATGATTGTTATAATTAACTATGCAGAATTTTACAACATCCCTATGATTCAACGCGACATAGAATCAGGCCATGATTTGATAGAAACATCCAGGAACCGAAGTGAAGACAACACAATTAAGTCAGTAGTTTTATGGGCTCACATTCACCCTCATACATTCAATTTTGTTTTCTTCGCATCTCGAAAAGCGGGCAGATAGTCTGCAGTTATAACTATATACAATTCTTGCGAGGTTTGAAACCACTAAGATGAGAAAGTGATTGGATGGAAAATTGAACACGCATTTGTTGATTGAATGCCATTGGGACCATCGCGTTTCAATGGTTGTTGCTGTCCTTGTTGGGTGGGTCTATGTTGAACTAGCCATGGGTCATCTCCCTGAGTTGGGTGGGATGCTTGACTGTTGGCTCCCACCCGTGTTTGGAGTCCCCAAGAAGATCGGCACTGTATATATATATATATATATTAGTCCGATTAATTCACTTATATAACTAATTTTGATTCCTTAATTAATTAATACGTTAATTTATTAATTTTTAATTTGTAAACCAATAACACGCAAATATACAAATAAATGAATAATATATGGATATATAATGATATATATATATATATTTACATGACATGAACATATTTGTCGCAACATGTTATTGCTCGAATGTTGACACATCAGATCCTAACCTATGGTTAGCTGCGGCATTTGACAGTGACGAGGTGAGACCCAAGCAGGGTGAAGTGATGCTGGTGGCGCAAAAGCAGCTGCCTGGATTGGAATGGCTGTGTTGGTATTATCTCTAAGATCCTCTAAGAGTCCCCAGCTTTTGCTGATTGGACCACCCAAACAGCATGAATATTTATTGGTTCTATACAATTCTATACCGCAATTTTGATCAATTTGGTATCCAACTTCCGTTTTGAATGGTACATTTTGACGATCTCATCATATCTCACTATTCTAGTTGGCCTTGGACAATGTCACTCCAGGATAAACTTTGGCTGTTTAATCGAACGCGAGCGATCCCAGTAGCCATTTACTACCAATTCTTAGAGTAACCCAGTGTTTGTTTGTTGCACTCAGAATTCCTCCCGTCAAGCCAAGCAATGATTTTGAAAAAACTGATTTTTATGGGTGATTTTGATGCTTATGAATCCCCAAATTATGATCTTTAATAACCTTCACAGGGTGGTGGTCCCAATTATAAATAGGTTATAATCCCATTAACTATAGACATATCACCTATAAACCATAGTTTTTGGACTTATACACCAACTATCCAATTTGATGCTTATTGAATTCCAACCGGCCACGGCCGGTTGAATCGCAGACATCTCCAGGTTCATCACCTGGAGCCGAAGGCTCGGCGTTTATCGGGGAGACGATGCTCGGTGTATCGGTGGCGATGCCATAAAGCATGCCATAAACCAGCCATGACTGGGAATATCTATGGTTAATCTATGGTAAATCTATGGTTAATAATTGGAATAACGCTATTTCTGGTTGGTGGTTTCAGACATGGCTTTTTATTGTCCATCATATATGGGTTGTCATCCTTCCCATTGACTAATAAATATGTTTCAAGATGGTTATTGCACCACCAACCAGTATATATAATTATATTAAATCGTATATAGAATCAAAATCATGACCATTTGAACGGGGAACCTGATGAGAAACATTATTCTTGGACGAACCCATAGCTGGGAAAAAATCGTCAATGGGGAGCACCTGTGTAATCCAATGAGGACCCCGGTCAAACTAGTCAGTTAAAATTCACAGCTGCGTAAACTCAAAAGACTCATTGGTCTTGATGTGGTCGTAAACGCCAAACAACCACACTCTCCACGTTGTTGCAATGACCTCTTCCTACCTTGCCCACCGGCTGATACCCCGTGCCGCCGTATTAAGGATGGCGAGGTATGGCACGCTGTGATCCTTGAAGAAACGATCCATTCAGATCTTGTACTGGGTGTGCAGCCGTTGCCTTCTGGAAATAGCTGGAGGAAGTGGAAGGATCAGAGTCAGAGTCCTCTTCTTGCCTTTCCAGTGCCTAGCCTGGCTTTCTGACCGGATGTGGCCATGACTGGGCGTGTAGGCCAAATGTTCAAGAAAATGGGGGTTACGTTAGGTTCACCAACTTTGAAGCCTGTCGGGTCCTCACTTACTGTAACCATTTTCCATCATGTTCCTAGTTTGTGTTCCCCGAGCATTGCGGAGTAAAACCAGGAACACTGGGACCAGTGTTCAAACAGGGAGGCCATGTTCAAGTGGTGCGAGAAATGCGTTCTAGCGGATTCTAGCCTTAGGATGGCTATGGATGGCTTGGGTCATGCGAAATTGGGCAGATTCTCTTGCTGCCGGTCTAGATGTGCAGAGGGTAGTGGGCATTGACTTTGGAAATAGTGTCAACTCCGGATTGATAAACCCTGGGCCCTGGGTCATGAATTAGGGGGCGTTCACCGTTCACCCAAATAGTGATCTGATGTGATCATTGGATATAAAGTGACCTAAAAGGTTTTTCCACTAATACGTACTGAAGTTGTCTACCATCAAATATTTCAAATATACTAAAGTGGTATATTTATATACCTGCTAAAATATTCTGTGTATCACTAATTAAATGCTATAGGACCCCAAAGGGACAGCCATGGTGGCCTTTCTCCCCCAGGTTCAGGTCTGGACGGGCCTGCGGACGCCACAAGGGATGCCGTGGAAAGACCTCTGTGTCGCGGAGCAGTGGCGCCTTGAAGAATTTGAAGAGATACATGTCGTTAAGGTCAGAAGTACTGTGGCTAAAACAATATTAGACCACCCACTTGGGGATGGTTTATTATTGCTTTACCCACATTAATAGTAAGAGCAACAACAACAACAACAACAGTTGGTAGTATTAGTATGTATTTATCATAGTATACATTTCTTATATATTTTATGTCTACATGTGTGCATCGAGGTCTCGGCAAATATACTTGGAACAGTAAAATGCCAATCTAAGGGTGCTGTCGAGGTTTTTCAAGGAGAACTTGGAGCCGGAGAAATGATGCCCAGAAGGGGGGGACCCCTAAAATGGATGGTTTAGAAGGGAAAATCCATGAAAATCCTATTAATATTCTAATTTATGATTTAGGGGTACCCCATGACTTAGGAAACCTCCAGTTGGGGTTGTCCATTTTCCTTGAACAAATTGTCGTATTATTGGGTTTACCACATGACAGTTGGACTGTTGAGTGATTCTTGGCCTTGTCCAAAATCAAAGTTGTGGCAAGTCCAGCAATTTTTTGCCACACTTCCTTTTTGGTATTGACCCCGAAAGTGACCTCCATAAATTGATTATTAAATATTTGAACACGATCATTATGCATGTATCCCAACACATGAGATTTGAATATATTGGGGTGCACTGAGAATGGTGCACTCTATAGACTCTAGAGTCTTTCAACAAATATGCCTGGAACCAATCGTTTTGTTTTTTAAACATTTTCAATATTGGAAGCTCCACCACCATCCTCCACTTCCTATGGCGCCACGGAGGTTCCCGGCGAACCGTACTCTGCTGCGGCGGCGTGTCACGGGGCCGGAGGCGGGAAAGTTGGTGGCACTGCACCGGAGCTGGGACGAGTCGGACGACGTGGTGATGGTGTTTGAGTCAGCCCCACCCAGAGGTGGGGTTACCCTCCGGTGTCCTCAAACGTGGCTGCAGGATGCCAGGGAAACTATGAAAAAATGGAGGTTTGAAGGGGAACATCATTTGTAAATGGAGGAGCTGGTCCATTGCCATTTTCACCAGCTGGCTTACATGTTTAATACATTAATATTATGTACCGTATATGTATAAATATATTGCATTGCATATGTGTGCACTAGGTTTTCCATGACACCACTCAAGATTGATGGCAAGGTTAGCCAGTGAAAGTTTGGCTGGCGGAAGAAGAGGCGCTTTCCTATGCCATACTTAATTACTTAGCCTCACTCTAGCTCTGCTGAACTCCTTGATAAGGCGATGGAGAGGGAGAGCATCTATGCATTTAGCCCACCTTGTTTTAAATCCTGTTTGGGTCTCAGCATGGTGACGTGTGAAAAGTGCCCGGCAGCGTCCCAGGTGACGTGTGTCCAAGCGATGAAGACGTCCCGGTGACGCAAATGTATTTGTCGCTGGATGTGCATGTCTCAAAGCCAGACAAGCACATTGGAGCCAATAGAACCTTGGTCTTCACTTTTATTGTGTTATAATTTTAGTAAAGCAATCATAAATCACCCATAGTTTGATGGTATATAAAGTACCCATGCTATTTGCGAGTGAATGGAAAATTGCACCCATGTATGGTGATTTTGGGAATTATTTATGATTGCTTTGCCAACATCATCCCGGGGGGGATTCGCCGAGGATTGGACTATGGTTTTTTCAATGCCAAAGATCTTCGCCTGCACCTGGTGGAAGTTGAGAGAAGACCAGCAGGCTGGTTTTTCGCATATAGAGAGATACATGTTGGATATTATATATATACAATTATATATATGGTGGAATGGACATACTGGTACTACTGGTACTTGCAATGTACAGGTGCTGGTAGATACGTACAGGTAGACAGATGGATGGATGGATAGATCGATAGATAATTTAAGAAACATGTCTTGTGACTTTTTTTTGCTCTTTTGTTCGATCTCTACCTCGGATGGTCAATTATCCATCATTGACTTACGGCAAGGATGCTAGGTCAACTTAAAATCAGCAACCCCACATCTTTGGATGGTCACCGGACACCTGGGTTGCGTAGCGGCGTAGCGATCGTTGTTTTGTCCCATTGGTTTCGCAGCAACGACACAGCTCAAGGAAAAGAATTGGATACCGTTCATCTACAACGGATCTTTGCATTTCGTCTACCCACCTGTGCCTCACGTGATCGTGTCAGCGCAAGAGGATGGGAGAAGCCAACGACTCTACAGCACAACATACCTGCCACTCCATCGACTTAGGCAGAAGTCACCGCACGCACCTTGTCAGATTTGCATCGTGGGGCAATTCAAAGCGATTTTTGCAGCCACCCAGACATCAAATACATGATTTAGATTGAATCCATACCGGTTGAGGCTACTTATACTTAGATGATCTTAGTGTGAATTTCATCCAGCATTTAGGCAACATGATCTGACATTCCTGTTTTCATGTGCCGACATTCCACTGCAACTGATCCTCATTTCCGCTGCTGTCACATAGTGATCACTCGAGCTGCCCCTTTTAGCAAAAAGCCTGCGTGCTTCGCCTGTTGCAATTGCATTTGCACATGGAACCTTGAGACTTGGCACAAGCTGCAAGTGTCACAGTCAGTTGGCACCGGAGCTGGACCCCTGGAGATGTCATCAGACGATGCTACGTTTGATTGGTCACCTTCGGAAGTGGCGGCTGAGGAACGCCGATTAGACCGAGACCTTGATGGTGCTCCTCCAAGGGTTGATCCGACGGGACCTACAACTGGAGAAGAAGCCCAATGGCAGTGCCTTTCATGCCACTCTGCTGCATGGAGATGGGATGATGAGAAGGGATACACATGTCCTACGTGTGGTGGATGTGAATACTTCAACGTGTCACAACCTACGAAGCTCGAAACACCCACTGGAACATGGATGTATGTGCCTCATGGACCAGACTCTGTAGCAAGTGGTTCGGGTGACGCCTCTAGCTCCCCGACCCCTGTCAATCGTAGATCGGGTTTTGGTGGCCCCAAGCTATTTCATGGATACCCACCTGATGATGCTCATGGAGGTGGATCTGAAAGAGCTGAGAGCGAGGCGCCGACCTTCGATCCGATTGTCAACCCTAATGAACCGATTCCTGGTGGTAGACGGCGCCGAAGACGTGGTGGAAGCCAAGTCAGTGAGCCTGCTGATGCACTACATGGCCCAGTTCTCCCAGATGCTGCGGTTCAACGAGACGATCCTGCAGAACTATACCAACGACATGGACATGGAGATGATATGCTTGATGTCATGCGACAGCTGTTGCATGAAAAGCGATCTACTGCAAAGACTGGTAGCGAGGCCTCATGGAATAGCATGAGAGGGCCCGCACCTGGAGTGAGATGGAGAGGTGGTGCTCCACCTTTGCCGCCGAAGTGGATCTACCAACAGTCAGATCTACGAGCCTTTGCAAAATATGAGAGAAAGGTTAGAACTTGGGAGCTTCAGGCAAAAAGCTTCATGACTGCTGCCGAGATGGGCCTGGCACTCTACACAAGCTTGCAAGGTGAAGCTGAAGCTGAAGCCGAACACCTGGAGTTATCCAAGATCAACCACAAGAATGGAGTCAGCTACATCCTTGATCAACTTCGAGGACCCCTACAACAGAAGGTGCTGTTCCAGAAGAGAAAACTGCTGGCCGACTTCGAGGGCGTTCGGCGCCACAATGCCGAGACCGTCCGACAGTACGTCAATCGATATCGCAGAATCGAACGAGACTTACAAACCATCGGCATAGAGACCGGCAGTATGTACGATAGTGAAGCTCGTGGAAACAGAATCCTTGAGCGTTGTCAGCTGTCTCCAGACCTACAACGACTGGTGCTGATTGGAGCCGGGAACTGCCTGGACTACGAGAAGATCACGGAGTCTATGTGCATGCAGTTTCCAGACTTCAAGCCAACTCCTATGGTTTGGACCTCCAATCACAACAGACAGCAAGCTGACAATCAGACTTCAGCCTCTTCGAGCTCATCCTCCAACCGGAGCTCTACTGGCACTTTCAGGTCTTCGTCTACTGCAACGTCTTCTGGAAAAGGACGTTTCACCGGAAAGGGGAAATCACCAAAGACGTATCCCCATGGAAAAGGGTCTCCTCGCAGTGTCTTCCAAACGGAACAAGTCGAGGACGAGGCTGACAATGAGGAAGACGATGCAGAGGACTTCGAAGATGCAGAAGGCCAACCTGAAGATGGAGAAGAGCTGGAGCCGATTCCTGAAGAGGGAGACGGTGACTATGAGGAGGCAGATGTGCCTTCCATCGACGTTGACACCTTGGCCGATTTAGCTCAGGTGCTCACCGTCACCTCCAAGAAGCTTCAAGCCTCAGTCCTTGGACGGAAGTTCACCGGACGGAAGCCGATAGAAGAACGAAAGAAAACAAGCACATGCAGCGCTTGCGGCCAGACAGGCCACTGGGCAGGTGATTCAGCCTGTTCGATGTCGGCATCCAAACGCGATGGCGGTGGAAAAGGACAAAAAGGTGCTGGGGGTTCTTCGTTTTCATCTACATCCTCACCTGGTCAGAAGTATGTCAAGAAAGCCTATGTGGTAGGAGTTCAACATGGAGAACACTCACATGAACCACATGATGATGAAACCACCCCGAGCTCTTCATCAACATATTTTACCTTCACCACCAACCAAATTTTTGGGGCCGATGCAACATCAACTACATGGATCACGGAGTCCATTGACCTTGGGGGTTATATGGTTTTAGATACTGCCTGCCAAAGATCATGCTGCGGTGAAGTTTGGTTGAAAACCCATGCCAAAATCCTGGAACGACATGGTCTCAGGGTCAAGATGATCGAAAGCTCTGATCAATTTCAGTTTGGCTCAGGCAAGCCAATTGCAGCTGCAGAGCGTGCCTACATCCCCATCGAGATGGAAGGCCAGGAGACCAAGGGATTGTTGTTTGGGGTTAGCGTTGTGTCCACCAACATACCTTTTTTGGCAAGCAGAACTTTGCTGGAACGTTTGGGTTGCATTATTGACATGTTCACCAAGACCATCACTTTTGCAAACCTTGGTGTTACACTGCCTTTGACTCACAAACATGGTCATTTAGCAGTCAATATTGCGATGTTTTCAGAAGATTTGGCAAACCATCCGTGCTGGAAGCATCTCTCGCGAGATCAACTTTGGCATGAACCTGATCCTGAACTCATGTTTGCACCGGGAGCTTTCAACAAAGGCTCAATTCGTGATTTGCCGCCCCAAGCCTTGCTGCCTACGGATGTTCCGTGCGACAGCTCCAGAATGGCTGAAGCGATGGCAGATACTGTATGTCCTGGTGATGACCATCGAGATCAGGGCCTACAAAGCTATGTCGAGCATGGTGCGCTTTGGACTGGCAACCCGGTCTTGGCTGACCCTGGACGAGAACATCAAGGAGATGGAGCGTCAACGCTCAGAGGTCGTCAACAAGATGCCAAAGCAGGCCAATCCAGCGACATGCATGCACCCCGAGTACAAGAGGTACGGCAACGACAAGGGTTCGTTCAGCCGATGCAAGAGATGCCAACAGGTTTTCAAGTGGGACCCAAGTCAAAAAGGATGGCGCCCACATGGAAGTCCGCAGTCGCAAGTTTCTTCGCACTTGCCACTGCCCTCATCTTCCAACATCCTGGAGCCCACCAACAGGGGAACGAGTTCTTCGACATCGAGGACTACAACTTCCAAGTCCCGAGCGAAGCCCAAAGCCCGACCACAAGAAGTTTTCCTGCCAGCGATGGAGGAGATTTGGGATCCGGAAGCTTATCCTCCCGAGTCAGATGGCGGCGAGGATGGATACCACGGATGGGACGAAGCCATGGAGATCCAAGACTATGCATGAACGATGAGGCCGACTGGTGGGAAGTTGGCAAAAACATGGTCACGAGGGTTCACAACATGCCACGCAAAAGTCTTTTTAACATGGATGACTTCTACAATGGCGAACCTTGTCCAGTGCATGTGAAACGACTGAGCCTGGAGTGCACAGCCGAGATGAACTATGAGGATGGCAGGACACAAATGCTCACCTACGACTGGAGCACGTCCGGGGCATCCGCTATGAAACAATACTGGACTGGGAAGACCATCTTTCGCGTTCACCCTCTGCCTGAGCGACATGTGTCAACCAATCTGGAGCGGAAGAGCTTGCGACATGCAGTTCGACAAGTTGCGCATTTGCTTCAGGTTGAGCATGATGTGATGCTGGCTGGCACTACATCCTCCTCTACTTCAACATCCTTGAAGAGCAGGCCACGGGTGGATTTGTTAGAAACTTTTGCTGGACGTGCTGGAATCACAATGAAGGCTACCAAACTTGGTTTGAAAGCACTCCAACCCATTGACTACAACACCGGCTATGACCTTGAGAAGGCCAGCCACCAACAACATGTGGACTATTTGATCGACCACTTCAAGCCCCTCTTCCTCGTGCAAGGCATCGACTGCCGTGATTGGTGTCTTTTACAAGACAACACCAACTACGTGAGACGCAAGATCTTGCTTTTGATGCGGAGGGAGAAGGCCAGGAAGTTGCTACGTCGAGTAGTTCGTTGGTGTGTCAAACAAGCTGAAGCTGGAAGGTTTTTCCTCTTGGAGAACCCTGCAACAAGTCGACTTTGGCTTGAACCGCTGGTGCTGAGACTTTCAAGACTTCCAGGAGTCTATGCAGTTGTTTGCCATTCAGGCGCTTATGGCGGCACCAACTCCAAAGGCCAGATGATCAAGAAGAGTTTCAAGTTTCTTGGCAACTGCCCTTGCGTGCTAGAGCGACTGACCAGAAAACTTGATTCAGAGCAACTGCTTCAATGTGTACCTTTGGTTGGAAAAGAAACAACTCTTTCACAGCATTACCCTGATGATATGATCAAGCAGATCGTGCAGGGAATCAAACAGACCGCTGCACAACATGACCCAGAACGTTTTCATGCTTTTTCCACAACAAGTTTTCAGGTGATGGCTGTGAACACAACACCAGATGATTGGGTTCCCATTTTTGAATCTGCCCAGAAGTCCTTTGACATGACACGACAACGAAGCTATGTTCTGCCCACATCAGACACGACATGGAAGATGGTTCAACAACTTGTGCAATGGCATCAGCTTGAACGTGTGCAGATTGCGTATCAACCAACCATGCTGCGTTTGCCCTTGCACATTCCTCATACGCACCGTGGCTGGGCATTGCTCTACAACGACCAGACCGTGGAAGTTGTTGAAGAGGACCTGGCGGATGTGAGACACCCAAGAGCCAAGTTCCGCAAACCCGTGAACATTGGCATTTTCTTCTTCGGATATGCAACACCAAGTAGCCATGCAAATCAACCTGTTTCAGCACGACCTGATGGACAACCTCTACAAGAACCAGCTGAAGATGACCCACAAGCAATTGTGGCTCACAACACAGAGGGCATCACCTTTCCAAGGATGCCTGGTCTTTCACAAGATGTCAAGACCTTGCTTTCAAGACTTCATCGCAACCTTGGACATCCTCACAACAATGAGTTGAAAAAGATGCTTGCGATGAATGGCATCAAAGATCAGAAGGTCTATGATGCAATTGAAGCTTTGACATGCGAATCTTGCTTGCGTGTGAGGGGACCTGGCAAACCTGAACCTGCAGGCATTCCTCAAGATGTGAGTTTGCAGTTTGGCGATGTTTTGCAGATTGACATCGTCTATGTCAGGGACATCACCTCAACCAACTACATCTTCTTGGGCATCATTGATGAGTGCACGCACCTTCACATGGCCTTGCACTTGAATGACCGAAGTCCCGAGGAGGTGCACTACAAGTTTTCTACGTTTTGGGCCCGACCTTTTGGTTTTCCACTGAAGATCAAAGCTGATCCCGACGGAAGCTTCCGTGGATCATTTGAAGCGGCAATGGATGAAGCTGGAACCTACATGGACTACATCCCTGCCGAGGCCCACAACAAGATTGGTCTGATTGAAAGGCACAACGCCACCTTGAGAGAGCTGATGGAGAGAACCATTGATGCAAGAGCAGTGGTAGGACCTGAAGCCATGGAACAAGCAGCAATAGCAGCCTGTTTTGCAAAGAATTCCTGCACATGGTCTTCAGGGCGACCTCCTTTTGTGGCAGCCTTTGGAAGAGTGCCACGCCTGGGCATGAACCTTCTTTCAGATCAACATGGACTTGTAGGTGGTAGAACACGTGAACAAGCTCAACGCGAAGCTGACTACATGCGTGCGGAAGCACAACAACATCTGTCAGCGATGAGTGTGGATAGCAACCTACGGCGTGCTTTGCTGAGGAAGTCTACCTCCAACCAACTTCAAGAACTACCAATTGGTTCCATTGCAGCATACTGGCGATGGACTGCGAAATCTGGCAAGAAGAGAGGTGGATTCAAACTGGCTCGTGTTTTGGGCCGTGACCCTGACAACAAGAGCATTTGGCTTCAAGCAGGCACCAACACCGTGAAGGTAGCACCACATCAAGTTCGACCAGCACTTGGATTTGAACAATGGAATCCCAACTACGACGACATCAAAGCCTTGAGGTCAGCTGTTGAAAACCTCCAACATGGCATTCTTCAAGACGAGCAACTACCAGATCCACCGCAAGGACAAGAACTACCTGGTTTTGAAGAAGTGCAACCTGAGGTGCAAGTGCCTCCACCTGTTGGAATAGAAGACGGCATTCCCGAAGCACATCAACATGAGCTCATTCCTGTGCCTCGGACACCTTTGCCTGATCCAGTGCAACAACCTCCTCAAATTCAACTTGAAGAGGAAGCTACACAAACGGATCCATACCAGCAGCAGCAGACGACCATCAACATGAATATGTCGTCACCAACCTACAGACAGACCATCATCCAGAACCAATCCTTTGGTATGAATGAAGCACAGCGCTCTAGACCCACAGTCAATGTGCCTGTCAGGAAACGACATGCTTCAAGGTCGAAAACACCTGTTCGACAACTACGAGCATTGACACCACATGGTGAAAGAGCCCAACCTGCTTCAGTACGACAGTTGCCTGATGAACCTTTTCTAGAGCAAGCACATCAACCTTCTTCAGTGCAACCGTTGGCGAACCCACCTTCTGTATTGGCACCGTCCAATCCAGCCGGTGGCATAACGCCTCCACTAGAAACACCACAGACCGAAGTGATCGTGGTGCAAGATGATGATGACACTGCAGGGCAACCTGCATCGTCTCATGGACAACAAGTTCTACCACAGAGCCAGACCGCTGTGGCAGATGACATTGGAGATCAAGCTCCAACAACACCAGAAGCATTGCGGCTGACGCCAGCCAAAAGAACCTTTGATGAAGCTGCAGCAGATCAAACTTTTGATGTTTCCTTTTTGCGACCATTTCGAGATGAAAGGTCGACCAATTCAATTTCTTCAACAATGCAAGATCACTACGTCGACTTCGACAATGATGATGTCGACGGCATGACGTTGATGGCTAGAGGATTTGATGGATCACCAGATGTCTACATGCCGTACTCCAACAAGAGCTTCATGACGGCATATCGCCAACATGGCGACTACGATGGCAATGGCGACAGCGACGAATCTGACGCTGATGTCAAGGATTTCCGTGGAGAGCAAAAGCCCATTCCACCTACCTTGGCCCGCCAAGAGAAGAAAGCCTTAGACAAAGAGATCCCTTGGCAGAATATCATGCGTATGGATGAAGCCACCATCCAGCAGTACGTTGATGCAGCAAAAGCAGAAGAGCGCTCATGGCTCGACTTCAGCAGTGTGCGCCCCATTTCCAAGACGGAAGCTGCCAAGATCCTTGGAGACAAGGAACTACGCAAACGGGTTCTACGTTCCCGTGCAGCCTTCAGAGACAAGTCTAGAGGAGTTGGTCCACTACGACCGAAGTGCCGCATCGTCGCAGTGGGATGCAGCGATCCAGATCTTTGGACGCTTCAACGTGAGAGCGCCACTCCAACCAGACAGTCTGAGTTTTTGGTTTTTGCAATTTACATAGCAGGCCGAAATGGGAAGATGATGGGCAATCCCAATGCAGTTTGGTGTTTGTGGGCAGGCGACGTCAAAACAGCCTTCCTCCAGGGAACACCCGAGCAGAGGAGCATGCCAATTTTTCTTCTTCCACCTGCCGATGGAATTTGCAAAAGAGCCGACATTTTCAGAGGAGCAGATCTACTGGAAGTTGTGGGTAACATTTACGGACTTGCTTCAGCACCACGCACTTGGCAGATGCATGTTGTGAAGGTTTTGAAACAGATTGGATACCAACAATCTTCTCTGGATAAAATGCTTCTCTACTACTACCAGAAGTTTGAAGGAGAATCAGAACCTGTCCTTTGCGCTGTCATCATAGTGTACGTGGATGACTTCCTGCTGACCCACGACAGCCGCTATGATCGCAATCACCTGCTGAAGATGTTCAAGTGGGGAAGCCAGAATGAGCTGACCTTAGAGAACAGCCTGGACTTCAAGGGCAAGCGCATTTCCTTGAAGCACGACCGCAACAACAATGAGTACACCCTCAAGCTCGACCAGGAGAAGTTCATTTCTGACATGAAAGGTGGCACCGTTCCGAAGAAACGGCACAAAGAGACCTTGGATGCCTCCGACCTGGGAGAGTTTAGAAGCGTGTCAGGATGTTTGCAATGGTTGGCTGGACAGACGAGACCTGACGTTGCTGCAACCGTCAGTCTGTGCAGCCGAGGTGCAAAGTCAACATACGAAGACTTGCACAACATGTACATGGCTGTTGAGCACCTGCATCAAACAAAAGATCATGGCTTGGTTTTGCGACCCGTGCCCATCGACTATTCCACGATGATCACCACCTATGCTGATTCCAGTTGGGCCAATGCTGTTGGACATGCAAGTCAACATGGTGCTTTGATTTTGCTTTCCAGCCCTAAGGCCACCGATGTGATTCAACCTGGACTCTTGGTGGATATGGAAGAGTTCGAGATCTACGCGCGTTTGCCGATCCACTCTTGCTGCTGAGGCCTCCGCGGCCGATATGAGTGTTGATCGTGCCAGCCTGATCAACTACATGCTGAGTGAGCTGCTTCTGAACCGGCCGGCGTTTCACATTCCCTCTTGCGATTTGTTGCGAATGGTGCAGGCAACCGACTGCCGTTCGCTTTACGATGTTTTAGTTAGTGAGAATCCTCGCACTGAGGACAAGAGGACCATTGTGACCATCCGGTCGGCCCAGCAATTTTTGTCTAGGGACAATGTGTTTTGGATCCCAACAGCGATACAGTTCGCTGACGGTTTGACCAAAGTGAGTCAAAACCTGATGATCTCATTCTACAACTGGCTTCAAGAGCCATGGATCCAATTGCACGAATGCAAGAGGAATGTCAATCAACAGAAAAGTTGGAGTGTGAATTTCATCCAGCATTTAGGCAACATGATCTGACATTCCTGTTTTCATGTGCCGACATTCCACTGCAACTGATCCTCATTTCCGCTGCTGTCACATAGTGATCACTCGAGCTGCCCCTTTTAGCAAAAAGCCTGCGTGCTTCGCCTGTTGCAATTGCATTTGCACATGGAACCTTGAGACTTGGCACAAGCTGCAAGTGTCACAGTCAGACTTAGATGCTCTCTGCATGCTTACCGAGAGCAGCAAGAATCTATGACAATGTCACTTTAAATTGCCAGGGTTGCTTTCTCGTGCTTTAGTTGTTCGCCATCTACCATTATTCAAAGCCGGTCACTTGGACTTGCTGGGTTGCATCTATAGTCCTTTCCTGTTGGATAACTCGCCCCACGGTAACCGTCGAATGTTGGCTGGGCGGCTGGCTATAGATGTGGCCCACAATCACATACATTCATACGCACTCATATTTACACATGCGTTATATAATGTTATATATCAATATAGGATTGGTAATGTTACAGAATGTCAGTCAACTGCTTGTTGTTTGCACATATAACTATATACTGGTTGGTGGTTTGGAACATTGTTTATTTTCCACATATTGGGAAAGTCATCATCCCAACTGACTTTCATATTTTTCAGAGGGGTAGGTCAACCACCAACCAGGATATATATATATATATATGTATATGTATAATTATGTTTTATCAACCATAATTATGTACAATATTCATTTCTTTCAACTCTAAATTTGCTGATGAAATTCAGGTCCAGATCCGTGGCAGCGGACAAGCGGTGCTGATCCATCGGCCGTTGAAGTTGCGGCGCCTGGCACGAGTGATTCGTAACTGTTTTAAGTAGGAAATGTTACTTCAGTCTATCTTTTTGGCGGACTACTATATGTGGACCTCTCTATATATAGAATATATATATATATATATATATATGTATATATATATATATCATGTTTTCTTCACATTTAGACATGGATTGATTTTGCGTACTGTGGGTTTTAGCGGCATATCCACTGGATGCCCACAAGCAGGATCCACCATGCCGGAAACCACTGGCAAGGCGACTGTGGTAAATCAACTCAAGTAGGCGGTATACCGGTATACCTCATAATAAACCACAATTTGACAATGTGGGATGATTTATTGTACTCTTGTGGTTCCTGTTGTGGTTCTTCCATGATAACTAGGGGTTATCACATTTAAAAGTGGATTATACGCTGGGTTTTAGCGGAATTCGAACTGGGATGTACGTCCAGGTAGCCCCTTTCAGGGCGATTGGCGATGGGCCAGTTGATTGAAAACCCAGGTAGGTACCTACAAGCTGCGTCATGCTGCACTTTTCGCTGTGAACCAGGAG